AGCATTTGCTTTGAGCTGTGCCCTCATTCACATTATGGAGGAAGGTACTCCACCAGCTTCTCTGTAAAGCTGGTCAGTGATTTACAAAACAGTAATAATAATAGTCGTAATGTGATAGTGTTGTGAGAATTAAATGTAATCGTGTAAATGAAAGTGCTCTGTGAGCTGTAACTACTACACAAGTGTCAAAGAACATGACTGTCTGAAATAAGGTATCATTGAAAATCTTCTCTATGTCTTGGCATCTATTACTAGAGATATTTGATTTTGAATGTGATGCCATTAGATCTTAAAAGAGTTTAACAATAGTACATTTTTTGTTAAGGAATTGTAGATAATGTTTTCCATTTCATACAAAGAATAAGTACAACAATATATAAATTCATGAAACTTTTGTAGTAGCTGTCAAGAGAATACTTATGTATTAATACCGGTGGCATAATTTTATCAGACTTTGCACTGATTCTTGCAAATTAAATGTAAAGTCCAGGCCAGGCACGGTGGCTCAAGCCTATAATCCTAACATTCTGGGAGGCTGAGGCCGGAGGATGGCTTGAGGTCAGGAGTTCTAGACCAGCCTGAGCAACAGTGAGTCCCTGTCTCTACCAAAAAATAGCAAAAATTAGCTGGGTGTGGTGGTATGCACTTGTAGTCCCAGCTACTTGGAAGGCTGAGTCAGGAGGATTGTTTGAGCCCAGAAGTTTGAGGTTGCAGTGAGCTATGATGACACCACTGCACTTTGCCTGGGGCCACAGAGCAAGACCCTGTCTAAAAAAAAAAAAAAAAGTACAGTCCAGAGTCATGTTCTCATGGTGAGTCCCTGTGTGTGTCTCTCTTAAGAACAGGACTGACACATTTGGAGTTCTATAGTAAGCCAGTTATTAAAACTTGTTTTATGTACAGTCATCATCATCTTTTCATGGGAAATAATCACCCTCCACCTGCAAGGCATAAATTATATGGGAGCATTTCCTTAATGATAGAGTTAAATGTTAACATAAAAAAAATGTGAAGTTAATGGAGCTAGGTCTAGTTCATACTTGAAGAAACCGTGTTTCAAGATCCCCTGGTATTCTATGCTTGAGTTCTGAGACTATTCCTACCCTGTAGTTTTATTCCAGATCTACAGATCATAAAGTTGTCTAATCCACACTAAATTTAAATCCAGCTGTTTAAATTTCCATCCCCATTCCTCAAACAGGGCTGCCTTTTGAATTTAGTAATTATAGAGCAAATATCCAAAATAGAAAATTGGTGTGTTTACTTACAGAGTTTTTATATGTGACACACTAAACGAAGGCTAATAATAAAAGAACAAGACTCAAGTCTTAAATCTTCTGGCTTTCTCATTCTTTGTAACAAACAGTATACTGAATAGTTACTAAAAGAATATTAAGCTTTCTGGGATTCTAGCTCTATGCTAGAATTTAGGTACACTCACATGGCTATACCTCAGACCACCCAGGATTCTAGAATTCAAGTCATTTAAATCATTAACCTTTTCTGGCTACGTTCCATTTTCTGTTCAGGCCAGATTCTGTGCTTGGCCACTAAGTGAAGCCCTTAATAATAGGTTCTGTCTTCCTTACTTTGAACACAGTAGGGCCAATCCATAGCCCTTCCTTATGGCTACCAGGACTCCAGGGCTGGACTAGGATAAATGGTGCCTGGCGGTGATGTGACGTGTATGTTGCCATTTTCAAACACTAGCATCTTTGTGGTACCCCCACTGACTGGTTCTTGGGGGCACAGACCCCCCCTACAGTGTCCGTGCCCCGTGTATGGTTTAGTTTCTGCATCCTTGCCTGTGGGCTGTAGAGTGTCATTGATGAAAGTCATGGGAGCCACATTGACATGGCCCAGTACAAAGTCATGTCATCTAATTTCAGGTGGGTCTTCATTGTTCCTGCCAAGCAACCCTGTAGTTGTCTCCTGTCCTGGTACTTCTTCCCTAAAAAAGGACTCACTTGACTTGAATCCTCCCTACTGTCTTCAAAATGTTCTCATCCCACTAGCCCTCTTGGCTCTCAGATACTGTCCCTTCAAGCAGGAACAATGCCAACACCAACACTTGTCATTTTTCTCTATAATTATGGATGGACAATCCTTTGCATCTTGAGTCTGCTCCTAGTTCCTAATAGGAAAAGCAATGTTTTGAACCCAGAGGGAGCATAGTTGATTTCCTTATTGATGTTATAGGAGGGAACTCATTGGGGATAGGAGAGAAATTTGTATTTAAATCAGGAAACAAATTTTTAAGTCATTCATTCATTCAAAAATCTCACTCCTGCTGTGTGGAGATATGCAGACACTGGGAATATTATGGCGGACAAAACCCAGACATGGCTCTGCCTTCATGGAGCTTAGGGTCTGAGGGTCCTGACCTAGTCTAAGGTGAAAGGTGGCCAGGGAAGTTTTCCATAATGAATTGGCATTTGAGCAGATCCAAAGGATGAACAGGGAAGGAGGGTGAGGTGCACCAGGCGGCGGGAGCAGCATGTGCAAAGCCCTTGTAGCAGGGAAGAAGTGGTGCTTTGAGGAAATGGAAGAAGGCCAAGAAATGGAGTATGAAGTCTTGGAGAGAGGATGACTCAGCACAAGGCTGGACTTTGAAGGTCTGAGAGTGGTGGAGGCCACTGGGGGGGGGGGTGTTAAGGAGAGCTGGTGGGGCAAGAGTGCAGGACCCCGTTAGAGTCAACAGAGTGCAGCATGGACGGGAAGACCAGAAACGAACATGGAGAGCTCAGCGTGGGGCAGCTGCAAGAATGGAGGGGTTGTACTTGTTGACTGGTGGAGACAGAAAGAAGTGGGCGGGCCAGGATTTCTTCACAAGGGGGAGTAAACAGAACTTGATCTTTAGTGAAGAGGAGAGAGGTTCCACAGTGATTTGCCGGTTTCAGTTTGTTGGAGTGAGCTGAGTTGTGGGCTGCACGGAAGCACTAAGAGCGCCCTGCATGGAGGAGCATGACTAGTGTGTCAACCTCCAGTGTGCACACATTTGTAAGACTGAGTCACAAGAGTTGCTGGCTCAGATCTGGAAAGTTACCCAGACCACAGGGAGGCAAGGAAGGGACCAATGCCCTCCTACTCAGACCCTACAGTCTGAATGGTGCTGGGGAAGGGCAGGGAAGTCATCAGATGGCAAATGGTGATGCAGAAAATAAAACTAATTCAATATATAAAGAAGATTGAAGAAATAGCAGAAATGTCTGAGTACCCAAACGTTTGATTTTAAAAGTAATCACAGGTGCTCCCAGTTAGGTACAAATAACTACTGTTCTTTCCATCCTCCCACCTATCCCTTGCTCCTCAGCAGGCCTGGTTATGGGGGAAGGAAAGCACCCTTCTCCCCAAACGTCCTTCTCTTTCTGCCTTGGGCATTCACCTGTGAGTCAGCCTAGCCTGGGCCAATAAAGGGAAACAGAGGGGCAGGAATGTGCTCCCATCATTCTTGGGATGTTAGCCAAAAGAAACAGGAAGCAGCATGTTTTTACTGCCCTGCACACTTTCATTCCTATTACGTGTGCACAAAGCCCCCAGAGAAAAATGCAATTTGGTACTGACCTGATAACCACATTCTTGGAGCCTTGGTCCAAGAATGGCAAAAATCCAAAGAATGCTGGGGAAGGGAGAGGGAAACCAAACACAATTTCCATTGTACATGACGGGCTATGATTAAATTCAAGTTAATGTCTAACTATAATAAAAAGTGGAAATTTTAGATTATCTACATAGGGTACTTTATCTCTCTCATGAAGAAACGATTTTTATGTCTTGAAAGTGTTGCAGTTACTGTTAAAATGTCAAGAAGTATTTCAAAGTTTTATTAAAAATGTACTTTAGTAAGGACAAAAGGTAGTGCAGGTGATCCTTGAGTTTGGCTGGTTGGATTTGGTTGGATTACAAGGTGACTGGGTCTAGGAGGGGAGAGAGGCCAGGGACCTGCAGCTACCAGGGGTGTCTCTTCTCCTGTGGGCTGGGGCAGGGTCACTGGCCTGGAGATTCACAGGCGTATCTGTGAATTCTGTTGTCATTGTGCGGGCCCTTAAGTGGGAATTGTTGGCTGAAATATCTTTTTGAAGTTCTACATTGTTTTTATGTTTCTCAATGTACACATGGACCTGTATCAAGAAATTTGAGTTCCAAGGACTCAAGGGTGGAATGACGGTTAGAATCCCTGCAGTCATGCCTCCTTCTCTGTGATCATCCTTCTACCGCATTGTTAGTTATACCCTTTGGAACCACGTATTACATCAATCATCAAGATCTTTAAAAAGTTTAAATACTTTTGGTAAATGATAGAGGTTCTCAAAAATTATATGATAAAAAATGCAGATAGTGAAGGTTTATTGCTCCTGTGTACCCTTTGCCGGTTACTTTTTCCCATCTTAAGGTATAGCAATACTATAAGGTTTGGAAAATGTCACCCTTACTGTCCCTCTGGGACCCGCCTTCATTTATGCACTCCTGTGTTCATTCATTCTGCATTTTTTAAGCATTGCCATGTGAATTATGCTGATTTTGTTGGGTACTGAGGGTGTGAAAACAACTGAAAGACAGATTCTGCCCTAGTTTAGAGGCTTCCACCCTCCTGGGGGACAGAAACACCCCATTCCCTGCCCTCCCCTCCCTGTTCCCTCTCTGCGGGAGCCCCCAGGAGGGAGCCTTTCCCTCTGCCCTGCTCTGGGCAATCCCTAAGGGAAGACCATGCTTGGCAAAGGGGGCTTCACGTACAAAAGCAGGAAGAAAGGTGACTCTCTGCAGCTTCCATTAATGCAGGACACTGTGGGCAAGAACTGTCCAGTGTTTTGGGGAGCTGGAGTATTTGCAATGAATGCTGTCATTCACTTCGATATACAATATATGATCATCTCCTAGGAACTTTCTCACTACTCGAGGGGCAAACGCGTTAAAACCCGAAGTTTAAACAAACACAAGAACTCAGAGTGAACGTTTAAATGCGCTTTGGCATCCCCGGTAGAGTGACGGGCTGGGCGCACCTCTCGCTCGTGACGCGGATGCGCTCGTCGCTGGACGACTGCTGCTCGTCCTCCTTCTCTCTGAAGTGCTCCTGCACGCACTGCTCCTCGAACTCGTGCAGCCTCTTCAGCTCCTCGTCGCTAAGGAACAGCTCTGTGCAAAGGGAGAAGTGTTGTCCGCGTGAAAACCAAGCGAGATCCGTGGAGAATCGATTTAGTTGTGTCACTGCGAATTTCACAGCCTGACTCTAATTAAACTCCCTTCTCCACCACCCGTGGGCGGTTCTCTGACTACTCCAATCGGTTATTATCCAAAGAGAAGTTATCATAAGCAGCGGTGGCCTTTCTGCGGGAGCCAAACAGCCCGGTTTTTAACACAAAAACCAAAATTACATCTACTGGGAAATTGAAGCCAATTCGTGTATTCTGGAAAAACCTCTTGCATGTATTTTATTAATAGAGTCAAGCATATAGCATGATTTTCTCAGCCTCTTCAGATGCAAAAATTAAAACATTTTGAAAGAAACATTGAGTCTATATAGAAACTTATATCTAAGAGTTATTTTTGAAAATTCTTTTAACTTCTGATCCCCATGAACTGGCTTTCAGTAATATTATTTACTAATAAATTATCAAAAGTGGAATAAAATGGACACAAAATGAGAAGCATTCCGAAAAGAACAGTTGGTCTAAAGTGTTGTGTTTTTCACACATGTAAGTAGTTTAGAGTGAGATTTCTATGATGATGTCCAACGGGAACATGATTTTGAAATTAGCCCAAGATAGAAACGAAGAGTCCTGCACATACTCAGTCCACGATCCCGCTCCTCTTGGTCTCCTTCTCTTTTTTTCCTACAGCGACCACTGAGGCGCATCATGATTATATAGATGTGGCTTAGAATGATCATCGGTGGGGGCAGGACTGGCCTGTCGTGGAATGTCATAATCAGCTGATAGCGCTGGAACTTCCACACCTGGTTGGATATTGACTTGACTTCAAAGAAGGTATTGCTTTAAAAAGAAGACATTGTTACAGTTAGTTATGTCACCTTTTAGTGTGATTTCCTAGAACCATCAGAGTTATTCACATTTAAAAGAAAATACACAACAAAATGGCCTGTTAATGCCAGTTGGTATTGATTGCCCGCTCACCCAAGCTTTTGGTTTATCTATCGGTGTGGATTATCTATGCTCAAGGACATTGCACTCGTAAATAATTAAGTATATTAACTTGCTGTCTACTGCTTTCTTGAAAGACCACTACTGGAGTCTACTGATTCATATACTCAGGAAATTAAATTTCCTACATTTAAAGGTACAAGCCATTCAACTAAGCATTTTGAAGTGTTTAAACAACAAGATGACTTTTTTTTGGTAACTGGATTAATTATTGAACTTATTTGATTGAAGATGAATCGGTTTGGATGTGGGGTAGGTACAATCTTTGTTTTATTTTAACTTCCAACAGGAGGCAGTAAGCAAATGGTTGCTTTGTCTACCAATATTGGGACCTTCGGAAAGCCAGTTACCGTCCCTGAACTGAGTTTTCTCATCTTGAGCCAGGAGTTTGAACCAGCTTCTCTCCAATGCCCTGTTCAGTTCTAAGATTTTATATTTCTGTGAAGGATTTTTCTCTCATACTTTTCATCTTAGAAGCTAAAATAATTTTTTCCAACATTTATTAAGCATGATCAACATACTCGACAATCATGTCAAATGGGCAAGTTTTATAAGAAATGTGATTTAATAATTTAAGCCACATTTTTCCTAGGCCATTTGATCTTCTATTATGTAAATGATAACAAAAAATATTTTATATAATATCACAAAAATTGTTTAACAGCTTATGAAATTTCTATTGCCTTCTGGGCCTCTGCTAATGAATGAAAAGCACGACTTGATCAAATCTTCTTGACGCCAGGAGACTTTCATCTAAGAAAATATTTTCATTAGATTAAAATGTACACTGATGTGTTGAAATACTAACCAAGATTCAATTTAAATGTATTTAAGTGTCAACACTTGATTTATGACTACATTACGACTGATTAAAGTTGAACAAAAAGACTGCAAAAATGCTATCTATTTAAAAGCCCTTGTGAACTGCTCTGGAAATATATGGTCTCAAGGGAGATTTCCAAGATTAAACCGAAAATCTGTAAAGCAATAAATAATAAGCACACGGTCCTCAGCCATGACACGTACTTGAACACAGCAATCAGCAGGTTCACCAGGAGGATGTTGGCGACCAGTAGGTAGCAGGCCATGAGGGCGGGCGTGAGCCAGGCGCCCGGGATACAGGGAGGGAGCCGCTTGCCCTCCTCGTCATACAGGTTTTCACCACATGGAGCTGAAAGAAAAGTGTGTGGTTTTGTGCTTGCTTTTTAATGTAATGAAAAGAATAAACATCTGTTACATACGTTATCAAATGACCTATTTCTTTTTTAATATGATTTTTTTCTTATTTCTTTTTTTTTTTTTTTTTTTTTGAGACAGAGTCTCGCTGTGTTGCCCAGGCCAGAGTGTTGTGGCATCAGCCTAGCTCACAGCAACCTCAAACTTCTGGGTTCAAGCAATCCTCCTGCCTCAGCCTCCCAAGTAGCTGGGACTACAGGCATGTGCCACCATGCCCGGCTAATTTTTTCTATATATATTAGTTGGCCAATTAATTTCCTTCTGTTTTTAGTAGAGATGGGGTCTCGCTCAGGCTGGTTTCAAACTCCTGACCTTGAGCAATCTGCCCGCCTTGGTCGCCCAGAAAGCTAGGATTATAGGCGTGAGCCACCGCGCCCAGCCTCTTCTTATTTCTTAAGCAGTGAATTTCCATGTGCAAAATATCAACTCATACAAAGAAGGTAAGAGACTCCTATCTGCCCTCAAAGATAGTCATTCTTAGTTCGTCCTATTTGTAAACATTTTTTCCCATTTCTTTATTGAGTTTTTCATACACAGTTCTTGATTTTTAAGCAGACAAGTCAATCTTAATGTTTTCTTTCCTTGTTGTTAATATCTGTATGAAAGTTATTGTGTCTTCCAATTATTTAACATTAGCTTACGTTTGTCTTCTGGTTGCTTTCATGGTTTCATTTGTACATTAAATTTGAAAATAATTTCGTTATGTGGTATGGGAAAGGGCTCCCCTCTACTTGCAAAACTGGTTAATCAACTGCTCTGATGCTATGTTTGAAAAATAATCTTTTCTCTCTCTACTTATTTAAAATACTGCTTTTTATCATGGAGGACCTAATCCCCACCCCCAAAGAAAAGATAGGATAATCCCAACCGTGAATTTATGCTGTGCTTACTTTTTACTTAAAATTTAACAAGCATTGGCAACCAGAAAACAAGAGAAATATTTGGAAACTTATAAGACTATTAGTAATCAGCTGAGGAAAAGGTAATTAATAAACACATTTCATGGAACAGAATCAGCAATTCCATGTAAACTTACGATTAATTTCCATGGCATAGACTATGCAGTGATTGGAGAGCAGGATTATTATTTTTTTGGTTTTGATGGGAAGAGAGGAAAGAAAATAAAATGACAGTTGAGAGAAAAGTAAAACAAATGCTGTAACAATATAAGAAAGTTTTGCTGTGAAGAAATGCAAAGATTTCAAGCTTGGATCTTACAGAGTCATGCTTAGAAACAGTGATCTATTTAGAAGAATTGTATGCATTATTAATTCTAGCAAATATATTTCACAAATATTTATTTTCCCATATGTCATAAGCAATGGTAGAAGCTCACTAGTTAAAAATACTGTGAAAAAGACATGTTACTGGCAGATGATCATTGTTACTAACAGGTTAACCAATTAAGCATCCCCTCTATTCCAAAACAAACACCTCACAAACACACATAGATACAAAATTATTATGTTATAGTCAGATCAAGAATTGAAAATGTACATTTAATGGTGTTACTGAAAATAGCATAGCCACAAGTTCACTTCTTCATCTTCTCTCACTACTAAAATTAATTTAAAATAACCAATAATAAAAATATTATAGCTTATGTCTGCAGTCCAAGAACTTTTAACATGTATGCATGTTTACCTAAACTAATATGCTTTTTGAAACCAAATTAAAAAAAAATTTTTGAGACAGATTTTTGCTCTGTTGCCTGAGCTAGAGTGCAGTGGTGTTATCATAGCTCACTGCAACCCTAAACTCCTAGGCTCATGGGATCCTCCTCAGCTTCCCAAGTGACTAGGACTATAGGTATATGCTGCCACACCTGGATAATTTTTCTATTTTTTGTAGAGATGGGGTCTCATTTTTGCTCAGGCTGTTCTCCAACTCCTGAATTCAAGGGATCCTCCTGCCTTAGCCTTTCAGAGTGCTAAGATTACAGGTGTGAGCTACTCACCGTGCCTGGCCAAATTTTTATGTTCTGGTTTACCAAGCTACAAACACATTCAATAGTTGATGTTGTGATAGTTGTAATAATGATATGCTCAGAATCATTTCATAAAAGCTATTATAGAAAGAAGGTACTGTGTGAGCTTGTTTTAGTCTAACCTAGAGGCAGAAGACTGACACCTCTGTGTTTCATATGAGGGGAGGGATGTTCAAAACCTCTATTCCCAAATAACAGAACTCTGGAAGCAGGAGACGTGCTATTCTACCTGATGCTTTGTGATAAAGTTCAACATGTAAATGAAAATTTTGGTACTGACATCAAAATGGGACTGAAGCACCTTGTTCACTGGTGGAGCATTAATCAACTTGGGGAAATAGGTACAAGAAAATTTGAGCTGCATTTCCCTACAACACAGCCCAGTCTGCTGAGGAGCTGAGTCCTACCTTCCCTAGTAATCCGTGCAGGACTGTAATCATTTCCTCTGCCAATGTCCATATTATTGTTGACAATAAAAAATAGCACTCCACTAGTGAAGAGGGGTTGGGTAGCTGTGTAGAAAATGGGCTTTGATGGCTAGAAGAAGAAGAGGGCGTGAGGTACCAGGTACCCTGCCATGCTGGCTAGTTCATTCTACTGGAATAACACTACCAGCTTTATCCTGGGGTGGAAAGCTACCCGGGTTAAGGAAGAACTAGGATATTGGCATTGGAACTACATTCATATGATAGGATGTCTACTGGGCCAGCTCAAGGGAAGTGAGACTCTTTCAGAAGTCTAGGGAAGGATTTTTAGAATAAAAGAAATGACTGATGTCTGAAAATCTGCATCCCATGATCTATACTTATTTATTAATGACATAATTTGATGTCTGTGGCAGAATGAAAAATATTTTGTTTCCAAATTAATCCATGATCTTCCATTAATTTGGAGCTGATCATCTGCCTCAGAAGCAGGGAAGAGAATCTTACTATGAATTCTATTCTTACGGTCTATCTGGTCTGCAAACACCTCTCCGTAGATCATCCAGTAGGGCATGTAGAAGATGTTTCGGGCCAGTTTCCAGGAAGGCTTCTCCTCTGGGTGCAAAATGGCTTGACGGGCTACTCCAAAACTCATGAGCACGACCAGCATGATGACCACAAAATACAGCATGTCGATCATCTGAGTGGGGAGAACGTGTGTCTCTTACCGCCTTGCCTCGTGGGCCAAGTTCATCCTGGTTCATTACATTGCTCTTTCTGAGGACTTCACAGGTGCTTAATTGGGATGGAGAAAGCCCTTTTCCTTTCTTTCCATCCATGGGCTGCTAGTCTTTTCTACTCCATGCAATGCCTTATGGCTAGAAAGTCTTTTTCTAGAACATTGCTATCTTTATCTGCTCTCAGTCTTTCTTCTCTATTTTGCCCATAAACACATGTTCCTCTAGTAACTACAACTGCCAATGGAGAAAGGGAAGAATGATGAGAAAAGATGTGACTTTGTAAGAGAAACTAAGGAATAAGAGGAGGTAAAAGGACAATGAATTGAGAGTATACACCAGTATTTATTCATTCATTATATGAATGCTGAGTGGTTTCTCTGGTGATTTCTCTGGTTACTGTGGATTCTAATCTGGTACCATTCCTAATTTTGAACATCCCTGAAGATGAGGGTCATGGCTGGAATTAACTAAACTGTAATACCCATTGGCTCAAAGCCACTTGCCCTATAAAGAGTTATTCCTAAACTTAGGAGGCTTCCTTTCTTCTGGGGCTAGTCCTAAGAAGGGCTGTTTTAGGTAATGTAAGCATTACCTGCTATTTCACTGTTAGTTGCATTTTCTTTTTTTCTTTTTCTTTTTTTTTTTTTTTTGAGACAGAGTCTCGCTGTGTTGCCCAGGCCAGAGTGTTGTGGCATCAGCCTAGCTCACAGCAACCTCAAACTTCTGGGTTCAAGCAATCCTCCTGCCTTAGCCTCCCAAGTAGCTGGGACTACAGGCATGCGATACCATGCCTGGCTAATTTTTTTCTATTTTTAGTTGTTTGGCTAATTTCTTTCTATTTATAGGAGAGATGGGGTCTCACTCTTGCTCAGGCTGGTCTCAAACTCCTAAGCTCAAGCAATCCTCCCGCCTCAGCCTCCCAGAGTGCTAGGATTACAGGTGTGAGCCACCGCGTCCAGCCATGTTAGTTATGTTTTCTATAGCCTGTTCTGGAGTACATATCATGATGGATTTGTCTTGGCCCAATTATATGAACTGCCTGTGTCCATGCCAGGCTGGAGCACATGAACTGAAGACTGTATGGAGTACAGATAGGGAAATGGCCATGGGCCCCCTTTTTCTCCAGCTTCTACCACATGCTGGAGGTTATCAATCAGGTTTTGGCCACATAAAAATTCTGAAGTGCACGTAACCTCATAGAACATCAAATCCAGGTCCCTGTACTAAAGAATGCTGAAAATGTATTTCCAGCCATCAAGATGTAGAGTATATATTTTGAGGTATCTATTTTGCTCCTGAATTTCTATTGCATCAAAACTTGATGTTTTCTTATGTGTTGGGAAGGCCAAGAAAGCTCTTATAAAAGAGGAGGATATTTTCTTTTATCTTACTGTCGATATATACTCATTAATGATAAATCAGAAGGAATAAAAAGTGAAAGTAATTGTCATCCTACAGTTTAAATATGGTATTAAAGAAAGTATGGAAGGAAGAAAATAGTATGTATTGAATGCCTAATATATATTGAGATATATACACACACAGTGTATGTATATATAGTATGTGTGTATACACAGTAGGCCCTCAACTCATGTTTTTCTATTGGATTTTATTAAGTTATCAACATGTAGGAGAACTATGCATCTTAAAGCAAAGAACATATTCTGTAAAAAACCAACTACTAAGGAAAGACCAAAAGAAATCTAAGGAAGCTACACACAAGGCCTGGTCTAATGTCCTAACCATAACCAAAGTATCTGTGGTTGGTCATGGGGTGTAATTACTAACCATCTTTCCAATCATCATCACATAGGGCCCCAGATACTTGTTTACACCAAAGATGTCCAGGACACGGATGTACCAGAAGATAATATCCACACAGTAGATCACTCGGCCATAGCCCATATATGGCTGGTTCTGTAGGCGAAGGATTGCTCCGATCATGAACGTGGAAATGGCCACGAGATCTGTGATGTTCCAATACTCCTGAAGCCAGACTTTTATTTTCTGGCTGAGTTTTCCTGGTTCTGACATGAGGATCTGAAAACAAACCCCAAAGAACAATAAACTGAGAATGCTGTATTGGAAGGCTTGTCTTCTTAGAATCTTGCAATGATAAGACTGGTGGAACATTCCAGGGCATCTGGTGCCTTTCCTGCTGAAGACCTCTAAACACTAATCTTCTCTGGCAGAGAGTGATATCTAGAAAGGGAAATTCCATGGAATCCTCCCTATTCTTAGACGCAGGGTTTCATAAACGCTCAGGAAATGCCTTCTAAATTATGTCCTTCTGGCTGTAATTAAAGCAGCTGACTTTTGATTTCTTTTCTAATTATCTGGACACGTGCCTGTTAGTCCACATTCCAGACTCACAGAGGAGGAAAACTCTAGAGCAGGGAAGAACCCCATGTGGTCTCACAGAGGGGCAATCTACCTCGTGGAGATGGTGGAATTGGGCTAGAAAATGCCAATTTGTCAAAATTCCTTTGTAACTTAGACATGAGAAGTCAGGGGCAAGTTGGCCCAGGTTTGCCCCTACTTGAGATATTATACTTTCAAGATCACTGCTGATTAAAAGGAGAATTCCACAGAATAAGATGGAAAATATTTAGCAAGCAGTATGCACAGTCATGCACAAAGAGATCCCAACGGGCACAGCTGTGGTGCTGCAGCAGGGTTGGGGGGCTGCTGTACTGGGTGGTACCCCTTTAGTTGTGGAGCTCCTGGGAGGTCCTGGGGATTCCAGGGAGGGGGATGAAGTGGTGACTGTCTCTCAGCCAACACAGAGGGAATTCACTCATTTAACAACCCAGGCACACCAGCTGATGGCCACTCTCTTTCCTGTAACTGGAGGGCAGGAGATGAACAGTGTGTTAGTGTATGGTTGACATTCACCAAGGTCATAATGGCACTACAGATGGTAAGGCAGGCCACTTGGGAAATCCCAGTTGTAGCACCTGCAGAGACTGATTGAAGCCCAGCTAGAAAAGAAAGAGTAGTAGTAGAAGAAGACAAGGATGGGCTATATTAATACAATTTTAGATTCAGTGTTCTTTTGATTTCTCAGTCTCTCATTAGACCGATGGCATCAAACTCCCTCTAGCTGGACTAGGTTAGTAAACGCAGTCGGTGAAAAGAGTCAATAGTAATTGCAAAATAATAGCATTGGTTCTATATCAGTTGGAGAAAGGATGTGAAATTATGCTGTGTGCTTTTTCAGTTCAAGTTCGTTTTTTGCTTGGATACAAGCTTTCTCTTTATAAGCAAATACAGTGAATTAAAACTTATGGATGACATTGGAAAGAAAAGAGGCTGGTGCATATGTCCTCTGCTTCCTGCAGAGATTGCCTTCTTGGACTCTCATTGTCATTTTAAGCCCTCTGTGATAATAAGAGTCATGTGTGAGATTCTGTCTATTCTTTTTCAACACTGAGTTGAAAATCTCAATCCCCCTGTTTGCAGCAGATGCTCTGGGTCGGGCCCACACCCCTTGGATCCTTACTCCAGGTGGGTGCAGGTCCTGCTGTTAGGCTCACACCTTGCCCCCTTCTGGGAGGCTGGCCCTTGGGCAATTGGAGCTGTGTCTCTGGTGAGTGCCAATGAGTGACTGATGTGAGGTGTAAAACTCCGCTCTGCTCCCTTAGCTCAAAGTGGGACAGACTCTGCGGCGTCCAGTCCACTGAGTCTTCTGCAGGATTGGGCCAAGGACAGATTTCACCTGGAACCACACTGCACTCAGCTCCTTTCCCTACCCTGGCAGCCTCCCTCCTCTCAGCTCCCTCTTACTGAGAGCCTCCCTTTCATAAATCTCTCACACAAAAGTCCAGGTGTGCACCATGCAAGTGCACAGTGTGGTCTAAAGTTCCAAGTTATGGGAAAAATGTCATCTCTTGTATCTCTCTGTTTATAGTTTCAGGTCCCGGAAAACTGAGCCAAAATTTGTACTGGTTGCAGTAATTTGTTTATCTCAGGTAGCTGGCAGCATTAGCTGTTTCTTTTCTTTTCTTTTCTTTTTTTTTTTTTTTGTCAAGACAGGGTCCTGGGCTGGAGTGCAGTGCTGTCATCATAGATCACTGCAACCTCAAACTCCTAGACTCAAGCGATCCTCCTACCCCAGCCTCCCGAGTAGCTAGGACTATAGGTGCCTGCCAACACACCTGGCTAATTTTTTTCCTATTTTTTGTAGAGATGAGGTCTTGCTCTTGCTCAGGCTGGTCTCCAACACCTGGCCTCAAGCAGTCCTCCCACCTCGGCCTCCCAAAGTGCTAGGTATACAGACCTGGAGCCACTGTACCTGGCCTGCTATTACTTTTATATGTACTCAGACCTGTTTTTATTATTAAATATCATTTATTTTTCCTTGTGCTTTGATTTGAGAGTTCAAATTCAGTTGGAAGGAGAAAATATATGCATCTTAAGTAAGTGAATGGAATAAACTTGGGATTCTGACACTCAAAAGAAAAGTCCCACAGCACATATAATCTGCATGAAATGTTTTTGCAACATGGAGCCATATCTGAATTTGAAGTCGGTGGTTAGGGGGGCTGGGACGGGCCTTTGGAGTAATCACCTCTCGTATTTTTTCTAGCGCGAGGCTCACGATGTAGGAGATGACGACCCACTCCTGCAGGGAGGGCCAGCCATCCATCCGCACCAGGATGACGTAGTTAAACAGCAGGAGGTAGCCCAAGTAGGATATCTGGAAGAAAGAGAAGTTGCCAGCCGTGTTGGAGGGGAAAACGTTGGAATCACGTTTGGAAACTCTATTTTCTTTCAGGTTGACACATCTTCTAAAATAAATTTCCATTTCCATCTGGACTGACTCATTGAGAGAAAACCTTCCCTGCACATGCCCCGTGCAGACAGAGACCTTTGAGGCAGGTTGGGAGGCATTTTATACTCTGGCACCCTGCGCAGGCACTGACATTTCATTTTCTACATGGAGATGCATTTATTGGTCGGTGCTGCTATCCTCATGGGGAAATTATGAAGTTGCAAAAATTATGATAAATAGGGAAATTTTAATAGTTTGCTGATGTGTCTTCTACATTCCTGGAAACTGGAAAATGTTACTTACTCCTCCCTGTCTTACAGATTTCCCTCTGGAACCTTTCCACGGCTGATGGACGACGTGGGACGTCAGAAGAGGGGATGTGTGGAGGAGTGGGATGAGTGCCAGCTCCCTCCATTAGCAGTGACAAGTCTGGAGTTTGCTGTGGTCACAATAGGGTCCCTATCTTTGTGTCAAGGAAAGAGGTACAGTGAGGTATGGGGGATGGAGGTTGTCTGAAGTTGATGGTCCCGGGTTCATTCCCCACGAAGCTGAGGGAACGTCAGCTCAGGGTCCCTCACTGGCACAGGCCCCTTCTGAAGTCTTGAGGGAGAGGTGCTAGCAGTTATGTATTTGTGACTTGGCAGCTTCTTTTGTAAAAGATCCCCCCCTCCCCATTGTGTAGGCTTTACGAGGATACAGGTAGAATTTCCTGTATCCACTGTCTACTCCTTGCAGGAGGATTAGAGCCAGAGTTCTCAAACTGTGTCATAATCCCTGGGAAGCTGTAAAATGTGCCATGTCTTCCTGTCCCCACATCCAGACAGAACATCCAGAGGGTCTGGGTGAGGCCCAAGGTTGAGAAGCCTGGACCGAGGCCTCCCCCGCAGCCTCTGTGGCTGGGATCCCCTGCAGGCTGGGCACACGCCGGGCCCTCAGAATAGGTTCTGAGCAGAATAGGTAGGTGGTGGTGGCTTCCACTGCATCATTAAGCATGGCTGCTAAAAGTTGGGCATCCAGTCCCATGGTTGGCCCTCAGGCTTGTCCCCTACCAGAGCTCTGCTCTCCCCCACCTGCACCCTCATCCATTGCATGGTCCGTAGCCCCAGACCCAGCTCCTCATGTCCATCGTCTGCTCCTGCCTGGTCCCCAGAGGAACCACAGTGCCAGGGCCTGCCTGATGTGGGCTGTGGCTTGGTGCTTGGGATTTCATGAGATGTCTTGTCCCTCTGCCAGACTGACGTGGCTGCACAAGCCACAGCATGTCTGGCCACCCCTCCTGGGACCATTTCCCAGTGCAGATAGACCATTTCATTTTCCTGCAGAGGTGGGCGCTCAGATTTGCTCCTGTTTCCTGTCCTGCTTGTGTCACCAGGGAGCTGTCTGGGCCTGGGCACCGAGGGGGCTGGAGGATGGCATGAGGGCCAAGTGGTCAGTTTGGGGACACTGGAGAGTGGAGAGGGCTTGATTTGCTGCTCTGTTCTAGAAGTTTATCATCTGGGCTCTGCCAAGCCCTTTTAGTAAGCCCACCAATTCAATGAAAAATGGAATTTGCTCTTTAAATCACTAGCCATCTCTGTTCTTTTAAAAATTATATTTCCCTACATCTGCAGTACTAAAGGCATTTGAAAAATCATTCATCTTAAGCAAATAGAATGTGACTATTTTGTTTTATGAAATGCTGTATTTGGGGGCTAGAATAGCCGTATTTTTACATACATGTAAATACGTAACAAGATATCTAGATCCAATTTTAGTTAAAGATCTCAATGAGTCCCAAGTTTGTTTTATGACTCATTTTAATTCAGTGAATTTTAAGATACTTTTTTAGGCCCTTAAAATTTTTCTTGATTCCAACATATCGAAGTGCTGAAATCGTGCTAGGTGGCAGATGTTTGGGAGGAGGCCTTACCGTGTAAAACCAGAACTTGACGATGGGTGCGTTATAGAATTCACAGATCCTTGTTCCGATGGGGATGCTTCTCTGCTTTTTGTGCTCATTCTCCTCGTCCCCCTTTCTGGAGCCAGCGTCTGCGTTTGCATCCTGGAAGACAGAGCACAGCACATGGCAGGCAGGTTGCAAAGTGGGAAATGCAAGGTACCGCGGCACGCAGGCGCCTTTCAAAATAAAGGATTATGAAAATACCCCCAGTTAATGAGGTTTCTAAATCCATGGTAAAAGAAATCTCAACAGTTTTGAAAATGAGAGCAAACTGATGATCCTCTTGGGATCAAGGGATTCACTGACCATGTTTTCCTCTTCTTTTTCTTTGCCGTCTTCGTTTTCCTTGGATGTTTGATATGATAAGTCATCGTATGTGCGAAATTCCAGAAACAAGATGGTAGGGGGGAGAAGAATCCCCATGATCACCTGCGAATGATGAGACATAAATTGTTTTGTTAAGCTATGGCAATTCTAGAAAAATTTCCTAGTATAGTTTAAATTTTAAAATGATAACCTTCCATATTACTCAATAACCTAGGAACCCTGGAATATGTTTATCCCTGCTCTGATGTTTTGTGGCTTGTGCTTGGTACAGTGGTGGAATTGCAGATAGTGAAAAATTCAAGAACATTGGCTGAGTTTTTAGGTGGATCGCAAGCAGCATTATGAGTAATCTCCTGACTTTAAAAAGCAAAGTTCTTACATTAAATTTCAAAGCAGGTAAATCTTTAAATTAGCATATAATAAATAAATAAATAAATAAATAAAATGCAACACTACTTAAAGTGAAATAGACCAAAACTATTTTATGTAGAAATAACTTTGATGTAAATAAGAATATGTGAACTGAGAGTCAAAAAGCTAATGTGACTCACAAAAAGACTTAATTGGGCTCAGCCTATACAACAAAAGAATGCCCAGGGCTGGTAGATGGAAAACGTGTTGCTCTTTTTATAGGTGATTTTTCTACACTCTACCAGTTGCTCAAGATCATTTCAAATTTTAGTTTGAATCATAACTGAACTTTATCTTTTGTGTGCAGTTTTTTGTTTTTTCTGAAATTTACGATTCTCCTTCTATTTTCTTATTAAGAATAATAAACTATTGTGTCTCCCTAACCTGGATTCCTGACACTTTATGGCTTTCAGTCTGTTTATTGGAGTCATTTCTGTTCTCCTTGAGTACTTTCTTCTTGGATTCCAGCAATTCCTTGGACTGATTTAATCTGACTGCCTTTTGGTCTGCTGCACAGCTTTCGTATGAGGGTTTGTGAAACTTGGGCCTTGTTTCTTGCATTCCACGTCACCTTTTTTCCTTGCAATTTTAATCCCCGCCCCCCACCCCCGGAATATCCACTGAAGTAACCTTCTGAATGGGTATATAGAAAGGGTATAGTTTGAGTCTTTGGCTGTCTTAAATAGATATACTCTGTTTTTATATAGTTGACCTGGGTAAAAAAAAAAACAAAAACAAATCCAGGTTCCAAATGTTTTTCCCTCAGAACTGTGAGGTCCTCATTCCATTGCCACCTCTTAGGTTTCAGTATTGACGACAAAAAGTCTGATGCCAACACCATGTTCATCGTTTTGTAGGTGACCTATTTTAGTTTCTTTAAAACCTTAAGGATCTCCTTATTCTTGGTATCCTGCAAACTATTTGGGTATTATTATAATATCCAAAGTTATGTATACTATCAGCTTAGCATAGTACATAGAATTAGTTAGGCATAACATTTGTATTTCTAGAAAACAAAGTGCCTTCTATTTGCTACTGTGTATATTCAGTATATTCTCTTTTCTTTATTCTTATAGTGATATTCTCTTTTCTTTATTCTTATAGTGATATTCTCTTTTCTTTATTCTTTTTTTTTTTTTTTTGAGACAGAGTCTCGCTTTGTTGCCCAGGCTAGAGTGAGTGCCGTGGCGTCAGCCTAGCTCATGGCAACCTCAAACTCCTGGGCTGAAGCGATCCTATTGCCTCAGCCTCCTGAGTAGCTGGGACTACAGGCATGCGCCACCATGCCCGGCTAATTTTTTTTCTATATATATATATTAGTTGGCCAATTAATTTATTTCTATTTATGGTAGAGACGGGGTCTTGCTCTTTCTCAGGCTGGTTTCGAACTCCTGACCTCGAGCAATCCGCCCGCCTCGGCCTCCCAGAGTGCTAGAATTACAGGCGTGAGCCACCGCGCCTGGCCTCTTTTCTTTATTCTTATAGTGATCTTAAAAATAGGTGTAATATTGCCATTAGGTAACTAGACTATCTGCAGATTAGAATCTCTTTTCAACATAACCTGATAGTTACCAGTAGTAAACAACAGAGCTAGGGTTTCATTGAAATTTAGTTATCTCCCCACAATATCCTTTCAAACTCTTTCATATTCTCTCATAAACTCCATGTCATGAAGATATCACTAATTAAAATCGTGTCACATAACTTCAGAATTAGAAAGGAATCTATAGAAATAGAGTTGAGGTCCCTGCTTTAATGGCAGGTAGGTGACCTTACCAGGTGTGTGATTAGTTACAGGGGCTCCATTTGAAGACACTGGATGTGACAGGGGTAAGTGTGAGCCAGGCATGCTGGTCGCGTGGGGGTCTGGCATTAGACCATCCGGGTTTAGGTCCTGGTCCCACACTCACCAGCTAAGCTCTGAGGCAAGTTAATCTCAAAGTTTCAGGTTCCTCATTTGTAAGACAAGGATTGTCACCGTATCTCGCTTACAGAGTGGTTCAGGGGAAGAACTAACATAACCCATAGGATGTTCTTAGCTCAGCCTGGCAGTCACCAGTCTAACAGCCACATGACACATACCTTCAGGCCAGGGTTTTTCCTCATTCGCAACCTCCCCATCCACATGTCGGTCAGCAGCATCTGGCTGCAGGTGTGAGCGATAAAGTCCCGGTGCTTGGCGGCCACAGCCAGTTTGAGGCAGGTCGAGTTGCTCCAGTTTTTCAGCTCGTAGGTCAGAAGTTTCATGGCGATCTGTTCGTCGTGCTTATAGGACTGGTCCAACAACTCCAAAGCAAGCTGGCCAAAGTCTCTGCAGGGCAAGAGAAGGAATTGCAGTGAAGCTGCAGGCGCTGCAATCTCTTTATCTCAGACAGCCATGTCCACAGGGACATATGGAGCCACAGGACACAGAATCCTTGATTGCAAGGGGCTTTGAGGTCCTCTGCAAGCAAGAAGCTCAAGGGATGCATCCCCGGAGGCGGGTGGCCAGGGACAGGGATGCTGAGCTCAGGATGGGGACCGGCGGCTCTTGCTGCAAATGGAGCTTTAGGTTGACCCCACATCTGCCCCCAAGACCCCAGTGACACAGAGACAGAAGACAAAGCCCCTTCCCTCAACTCATGCACAGATCAGGGAGGCAGACAGAAGACAGCAAAGGCAAATTCAAAACAGCACCTGTGGGGTCAGAGGCCAGGACAGTAAGGCTGCCCTTGTTGACAGTAGCAGGAGAGGTGGATATTGCAAGTGGCCACGGGGAGGGATGGGGGCGGGGTGCCAATTAGCTTCTCTTTCTTGATCTGGGTGCTGGTCATGCCCACGCGTTCTGTTTGTGAACAGTCATCAAGCTGTACACTTAGGATTTGTGCCTTTCTCTGTGTGTGTAATACTTAATAACGCATGGATTACAAGAGAATTCCGTGTTCTTTGTGCCATGATAGAAACAAGGAAGAGTTGTCACACGGCACAGAGCCCCGGGCACCTAATTGCGGTTGGAGGAACAGTGACAGGAGTTGGGGCAAATGGAGAAGGTGACAAACTGAAATTTGAACATAAAATTTATTTCTTTCACTACATGATCCAGTTTCAAATATTTAATGATAATCATAAATATTCCCACTTCCTCCAACTTTTTGTTAGGGAATGTGGTTAAGATATGGTCTCATAGTGATCACCCTCCTCTGTTTTTGTTTCCCCATTCTATAGAAGATTTTATTCCAGTTATGAGCTGAAGGAAGAAGGCAGAATTAAGTGTGGGAGAATAGCCTTCTCCATCCCCTGAAGGGCAATGCCATGGGCAGGACCTTCTGGCCCAGGCCCTGTAGGCTGTGAGTTGACACGTCACCATGGGTGCACTCTAGGAAACAAGGGACGATGGCATCTACGAACCCACAAGGTATGTGGACACATCCTCATTTTTAGAGAGCCTTGAGTTCCTATAGTTAGAAATCAGCTAGTAAGTTTAGAAATCATCCAGTCCAAAGTAAAGGCAGCATGATGCTTCAGAAAAGATTTTAGATATTGGCAGAGCTGCCTGGATCTGCCTCGAGTTTATGTACCTATAATGTTGTGCTGGGATCTCCAGTTTTCAGTCTGACATGGAAGGAACTTGGAAGTCACCAGTTTGTCCTAACAAGTAAAAACCTGAACAAGCTGAAAATCGACAACTCTTCTTAGATCTGGGAGAGAAGTGGGGTTGCAGGGCAAACTGCTGGCCCCAAAATTGGACAGACATACAAGTGGACTCAGGGAACAACCACTTACTGGGCAGAAACCTCTGTGGGAATCAGTGCAGGGTGGGAAAATGTGAACTGTAATCGACAAATCTCCGGAGGCTCAGTGTGGACAAGTTTGTGAGTTATAAACTCCAGGGGGACCCAGACATAGGAGGGCCCCCACACTTTTGAGACTTTTATCTCCAGGAGCTTGACCAGATTCTCAGAGTGAATAGAGGAGAAAAATCTGTTTGTGCTTCCAGCTGGCGCAGGGGAAAAGAAACCATTTGGAATTATGCCAGAGCACTCTTAACAAGGCTTGCCCACAGGAAAACCAATTTTAACAGAGCCTCACCTGCTTGGGTTTTGCCTAACTGACCTGGGGGAGGCATTCCCAAATCCCCATTAGCCATCCTGTCTCACCTAATGGGTGGGGAGGAATCTGAGACACACTTGTGAAGTTCACAGTTTAAGGCATGGGCTCACTAAAGTTGTCCTCCTTATGGAAATTAATCTCATTGTCTTTGCATTAAAATTCAATAACAGGCAGTAAACAAAAACAATGACAGTCGAGAGACATCCCAGACAGACAGAAGGAAAACCACTGATGTGAAGGACAAAGTGATTTATGAGCAAGTTCTAACCATCGTTGTCCTTAAGTGAGAAGGACACTAGCAACCCTCCCCTGAAAGGGACAGGTACTCAGGACGGCGGTCTCCCCTGGCCCTTAAATCCCCTCTAGACACTAACTTGGAATTGTTGTCCAAGTCCTGGGAGATGTCATCCACCAGCTCGCTCTCGGAGGACTCGTGGGCCATGGCCTTGTAGAGCTTGCAGGCCACCAGGGCCTTGGCCATGCTCTCCTCGCCGCGCTGCCACAGGAAGACCGCCATCTTCTGGCGCTTCATGAGCACGGCCCACACCATCAGCTCATGGAACGGGTACTGGAATCGGCTCACGGCGGGATCGTCCACATCGATGTCGATCTCTTCCTCCTTTTTCTTCTTTTTCTTTTTCTTCCCTTTGGCCGGAGGCTCATCATCCTGAGGAGAGAAAAGTTCATTTTTCATTGGTCCTGCCATAAACATGAGCAATGGAAGGTTCCAGACTCCTGGGGGAAGAAATCCCTTCTGTCAGAGGTGATACAGAGACCTTTAAAGGACATCTTAAGTTTCCACTCCATATATGAATTCTTCTGAAAAGATGCACATGTTTATTACAATAAGTAAAACACCTAAAACGAAACGAGCTGCAAAGGCATACTACTGTGAGTAACTCACACCCTGGGGGAGCAGTTTTACTCAGAAGCCTTCAGCTTAGGAGATGCTGCAAGACTAAAACAAAACCTCCCCCCATACTAAATACAGATACCACCATGGTTGAGGTAAGATCCACAGTTTATTTCCTCAGGGAAGTCTTCCAAGGTGGCATAATATCAACACTCATTTGCCAGATAGACCGGAACCAGAAATTAACATGAAAAATGTAAAAGGGGATAGAAAAAAATGTTTTTTAAGTTTCCCTCCAGTGTTTTAAGGAAGCAAACATTCCATTTTGAATGAGCACCATCCTTTCCCTCACATGGTGCAAACGGGAGGCCAAGATTTCCCATTTCCTACGGGGATCACGAGAACCGTTCTGAAAACCGAGCAGGATTCTCAAGGACGGCAGCTGATGACTGAGAGAATTGGCGTGGACATACGTGGGTCTTAGACTATTCCAGGCTAATACTTTAGTACTCAATGGAATAACAGAAACAGATGTTTGCTCTTTTGCAAAGAGCATTCCCATCAATTATCTACTTTTATTCTTAACGATGGCACTGAGAAGTTGTGAATTCCTTCCATTCCCTCAGATGGGGACAAAGTCTGAATAACTCGCCCACGTTCACATGGTTGGAGTGGGCTAGAACCTGGGGGCTCTGGGGGAAATCTAGCTTTGCAATTCCTAGTATGAGTTGTTCACGACTGACTCAATTTTTATAATATCATGAGTTGTGATAACATTTTAATGGAAACTATCGTGTCTTGCCTCAGTTGTAAAAATGTTTTTGTTCTAATTTTCTAATATTTGTCACAGTAAAGCTACAGTAATAATAATTAAGGAAGGTTGGTCTATATAGATTAAAAATGGACATTATAGAAATTTAAAAATAAACAGATTTATTTTCAAGAATATAGAAAATAAAAATCAACTAATGGCTAATGAAATGTTATAAAATAGAAGTCCTTTTAAACCTACCTTTCAATAACATGTAATATTAAAATATTAATTGTATGCAAATTCTTTTAAAATAATTGCCAGAGAAAGAATATAAGACACAAGGAGTTAATTTTTCTAAAATGCCTTTGCCTGCCACAAATCAATAAGAAAAAGAGAAACAACCCAATAAAATAAAGGATATGAACTGGAAGTATAAGGACAAATTGACACCTCCATGGTCATAGTAAGAGTCTATAAACACACCTCACTTAGCAATGAATTTGAAAAAATTAGTAAGTATAGAAACAAATTGAATAGCAGAATGATTGTGATCTCATGAGTAAATATAAGAATTATACCCAACAAACAGAGAATTCATGTTTTTTCCAACATACAGGAATTATTAAAAAAAAATCCAACCATGCATAATACTCCAATTCTTTTGAGATTTTCCATTTCAACAAATTCCAAGTATCAAAAACCATGTACTCTACATATGGGGAATAAAGTAGAAGTCATTAGTAATATAACAACAACAACAAAAGTCCACATCTGGAAAATTTAAAATACACTTCTAAATAAGTCTTGGATTAAAGAGGAAATTATAAACTCTTAGAAACAAATGGCAATGAGTATTCTCCTTACCCAAACCTGTGGGATACCATAAAACAATGCTCAGAAAAATTTGTACCTTTAATGTATTTATTGGAACACAGGGAAGATTGAAAATGAGTGAACTTTATTTTCAAATTGAGTCAATAAAAACAATACAGTAACTCTAGGGAAAGTATATGGAAATAATGAATAAAAGTAAAAGCAGACATTAATAAAATAGAAACAGAAAAAAGAAAGTTAGTTGCTTGATAAAGTGCAAAAGCACCAATATGTAGGCAAGAGTAATTAAGAAAAAAAAGAGGAGGCCAGGTGAGGTGGCTCATGTCTATAGTCTCAGCACTTAGGGAGGCTGAGGCAAGAGAATAGCTTGAAGCCAGGAGTTCAAGATCAGCTTGGGCAACATAGCAAGACCTTATTTCTATAAAAAATTTTAAAAAATGATTAGCCAGGTGTGGTGGCAAACACCTATAATACTAGCTACTCAGGAGGCTGAGACAGGAGTATTGCTTGAGCCCAGGAGTTTGAGGCTGCACTGAGCTATGATGGTTCCATTGCATTCTAGCCTGGGTGACAGAATGAGACCCTGCTCTCTTAATTAAAAAAAAAAAAGAGGAGATGTAAAATTTTTCAAAATTGGCACAAAAAATGGCATGTAACTAAATATATTGAGACTGAAAAAACTAGAATACTATGTAAAAGTTTATTCAATGAACTTGAGAGACTAGATGAAATAAATAATTTTCAGAAAAATATCCATTACCAAAATTGAGTCTATAAAATATAAAGCCTGAATAGACTCATATTTATAATAGCTATTATGAAGTGGTGGAAGATATACCCCTAAGAAGCAGGACTGGAACCGGGCTATTTTAAAGACGAGCCCCCCTGGAACAGACAAACCCTACCTGACATACAGAGTTTGAAGGGATAAAGAACCATGGACAGCTCATAACCTTGCCAGGAACACAAGTCCAACGATATGTTTGAGACGATGCTAGGAGTCGGTTTGAATTGGGAACACAGAACTAGTGCCTTCTACACTGAATCCATGCAGAATTAAGGATGCTGTTTAGCTCATGAATTTATTTCAGAAGAATCTTCCCAATAGTCAGTCTTAATAGTCTGTGTTATGGCATTTCTTCCATTCATTTAAATATTTTTATGGCTAGTACTTTATTATTAAGGGTTTCTTCTGGTACTTTTGTCCTGTTGTGAGGGAATGTTAGCTGACTTTCCTGGGTTTTCCAGATACGTGATATCTAGAAATATATGATTTCCATTCCAAAAAAATGATTTTTGCTGATAATCATTTTCTCCCCTTTTTGGGTATTCTTTAACATTTATTTTTCCATGTGGTATAATTTCCAGAACATTTTTGAAGACTAGTGAGGATAATGATGATGTCTTGTTCTTGATTTTCATAGAAATGACTTCAGGGCTTTGCTGCTCAGCCATATATTTCACTTGCTCTAGGATATACATGTGTGTTAATCATAGCAAAAGAGTATTTTATTTTCCTATTTATTTTGCCATTCTCTTTCTAGTGAACTAATTTTTTATTAAAAAATTAAGGAATATGGTTTACATCTTTCCAAAGTCTTCATTAACACCTATTGAGAAATGATCATTGATTTTTCCTTCTTTGATTTGATACAATGGAATATATTAAAGACTAAGATTGCTTATATATGCATTCTTAGAAGTCTTTACTTGTTTGTGATTTTTAAAATATTCTATTAAATTCCCTTTGCTATTATTTATGATTTTTAAATATATAAATAGAATTATTCTCTAGGGTTTTTTTGGTTTAATCTTTGCTTATGAATTGGTGGTTTTGCTAACTCTATAAAATGAATTGGGAGGATTTTACCCTTTTAAAAATAAATCTTATCCTTTTATATAATTTGACTATAATATCTAAATAAATTTTGGTGAGTAATATGATGAATTTGTTCATGGGAAACAAACTTGTTCAATTTGGTGTTAAATACAGAACTAAAAGGGCTATGTATACTGGGACCAAGATATAAAACTATTGAAAATAAATTTTACTTACTTCCATTCCCAGCAGTTTAAGAGCTTTAGGCTGCATTATGAAAGGGGAGGAAAAAAAATCAATTTACTCAGATAGCTAATATTGGTAGTAGTAATGCTAGTAGTACATTAATAGTATTGTTAGTAGTAGACATAATAGTTGATTAAAAAGTACTTTATATCATTAACTAATGACAATATCCAAGGAAAAGAAATGCTTTAATATGGAAACTCTTCTTCTGCCAGCAGAAGTTAATTGAGGAGAAAGAGCTGCAGACACATAACCCTTATTGCAGGTGGAGCCAGAGAAGTTCCCTAACAAAAATCCAGACACAGAGCTCTAAGTGGGGGGTGAGGGGAGGGCATCACCAACGATCTGACACTGGAGCTGGGCTTTTGGTGCGAGTGAAATTTGGAAAGGCAGCAATGGGGGAAAAGACGTGGCAGGCACCTTAATGCAATTAGATTTTGGAGGAGGTATGTGGTCTACCATGGTGGAGTGGGGTCAGCGGGCAGAGAGCCTTGGATGCTGTGGTAGTGAGTTTAGCCACGATTCTGCAGGCAGTGAGGAGCCCTGGGAGGCTTTGAGCAGGTAGAGCGCTGGCATGTCCCTTGCTTTGGAAGTTATGGCAGCTACAGTGGTGGGATGGTAGAATGGGCTGGAGAGGGCAGAGACAGTAGCCATGGAGGAAGGCTGCTGTGGACAAAGAAGGGGGCAGATTTGATGGATGGCCTGGGCCACCAACCTGCTCAGGGGTGCCGGAGAATGCCTCTGTGTGAAAGGGAAAGCCCACACCTGAGAGCACTGCGGGAGGCAGGGCAGGTGTGCTTGGGGATGGGGGAAAACTTGGCTTTGAACCAGCCGAGTTATTGAAAAGCACAGCAAGGAACCACTTGTCATTCTGGAAACCACAGAACACTCCACATTCAATGAATTCTACCCTCTTTGGTCCAAACAAGTTGTTGTAAAGGGTCCGAAAACTTTTCCGAGTGTAGTTGCAGCGGTAGGCGCCTCCCATGAGGTACTCCAGCACGAGCCCTATGTCTATGAGGCTGATGTGGTAATCAGGCGGGAGGTTGCTCTGTAAGAAAAGATATTCTGACTCAGGTCCTGTAAGAATGCACCCATGAACTTGGGAGTTTATGTAACAGATGGGGAGTTAAACAATCTTCAGGCTATTACCATATGATTGAGGGAGGTGATGGGTTAAGCCACGTTCCAGAAAATGGTTAAACTTTTCCAATGAGAACAGGGTTAGAAACCCTTGTGGCTGTAGGGTTGATGATGGGGCATGTTCACTGGTCTGTTGTCCGCGTGTGAAATGTAAGGGAAGTGGTTGCTGCAGCCGGTGTGAGAGCAGATTAGTTTTGATGAGAAGATGCTTTGACAGCTGCTTGGAGGGGAGAAGCAGCTTCAGGGGGCTGGAGGCCGGGTTTCATGCAGAATGAGAAGGGCTTCATGGGAGACATTGTGGGACAGAATATCTCCAGGGCTGGGGCTGTTCTAATGAAAGCTCCGCGTGGTGCCCTGTGACTTTCTGGGGAATGTCCCCATATCTTCAGTGAGAACACAAACACCCAAACTATGTGGTGTGACTGGGGGGTTGTGAAGGGCAGAGTCTTGCATCAAAACGGAAGAGGGTGTTTTGAGACAGCGTGTGGGAGGGGAGGAACAGCTGGAAGAGAGGCAACTCATGTCAGTCATTCATGTCCCAGCTGGTCCACTTATCCAGGAGGCAGAGTTGACCAGCTGTTTTTAAGGATTTTTTGTGTGTGCTGTTTGTTGCTTGGTTAATTTCATATGGCTGAAATAATGGTGTTATCCTGGGACTCATGGCACGGGGGTTACCCATTCCAAACATTCTCCCTTAAGTCCCAATAAGAGTGGCCACAAGGCTAAGTCCTTCATGCATGCATTACATGTTTTTCAACCCTGATTGTGATCCTTGATTAGCAAGTTGGGGATTCCATACTCAGAGATAAGGAGATACGGCCCTGCTCTGAGGGGCTCACCTTTGGGGGGAAAGGGGTACAACCGTCAGTAGCCCCAATGCAGTGGCACAATGCCCTGGTGGGAGAATGAGAAAGGGCTTCCTGGAGAAGGCGATGTCCGAGGTAGCTGGGAGCAGGTGGAGCGGAAGGAAGAGGGCTGCAGATGTGAGCAAGGCGTGGGCCAGGACAGACCCAGACTCCCCAGGCACCAGAGTGTCAGGCAGGGTTAGTACATGGTGCAGTGGGGACGTGGTGGGAAACAGTAGCAGGCGTGGGCATGGACCAGGCCCAGAGGGGTGCGTGTTTCTTGGAAAGAGCTTGAACTCTATGCTGCGGCCCATTGGGAAGGGAGGATTTTAAGCAGGGGATAGTGGTGGTGGGGGGGTGGACTGGAGGATAGAGGATGATTATTAAAACCGATCATATGAGAAATGGTTGGGCCTGAACTAAGGTGGCTGTGACTTTGGAATGTCCATGCCTCCTAACCTATCTTCCAGCTGGGTCCTGTAGGGAAGTCAGATTCCTTATTTGGCAAACAAGGGCACTGGGCCAAAGGGCCTGGGAGGTCCCTGTGGGTTTCCAGATCCATTCATTCTATGGTCTGATCTGTGAATGTCTGTGGAAGCCACATTCTCATATTATTAGAACTGAACATTTGTATGAAAGGTGACCAGGCTATCTAGGACTCAGATGGAAAACCCTGTTCTCTGGATGCTTTTCTCTTGCTCAGAATACGAGTACACAATACATATTCTGCATGCCCAGGGCTGCATTCTGACAAAATGAGTCACTCTTAGGTGGACCCAGTCCAATCCTCTAACCTGTGGTGACAAGACATAAGAAACGGCACGACAGAACGCCGAGAGAGAGAGAGAGAGACCCTACAAGAACACAGACGGTGAGTAGTCAGCAGCAGTGGGAAGGGGGACAAACATGTATCATTTAATAATGAGGGAACAGAAAGGGCCAACCACAACTGCTGCAATCAACAGGGCACGCAGGACGGATTGCGGAACCTCCTGCTGGTACTTCTGGAAAGAGGCCCAGCGCATGGGTGAGAGACCTTAAAGCAGACACAGAGCATGAGGCTGCATGGACAGACAGCAGGGCTCGGGCCAGCGGAAGGCAGGGCTGCCCCTGGCCTTGGCAATGGCGTCAACCTGTAATCGAGCAGTCGCTGAGCGTGTTCCGCTCGTGTATGGGCATGACCATGCAATTTGAAAGAGATTATCCTTTTCTTTTTTAGTTTTAAGTAAACTCTTTTTATGAAGGAAGGAATTCATTATCTCCTATGCCTCAAAGAAGACAAGACATTTTAGAAATTAAAAAATTATTTTTAAGAAATGTTTTCGTGAAAGGTGCCGGTAGGTAAGGATCATAAAACAGTAGACCAACCTTCTTTACGTCCCTCACCAGCAGATGAAGTGTGTTTGGTGGACCAAGTCTCTGAAAGGGAAGCATTCATTCGTGTTAAATATGTTTTTCTCTTCCACTCTTGGAGCAAAATCCTACCCTACCATGTAGAATTAATGAATTATGAGAGCCGGGGTGTAACTGATTGTCAGCCTGTTTCTTTTATGGGACAGAACTGGCTGTGGTTAAGAAGTATCCAACACATTAAAAAGTATGTGAAATACTTTTTATTGAATTACTTTAAAGAGCATGTTAGAATGTACAATTGAGTGTTTAAAAGGTCACCAAGTTTTAGTGAACAACTTCTGAGGGCCATATCTGCTACTTAAAATCTTCGAATGGGGAAGGAAATATAAATTCTCAAAACTTAGACTGTAATAATATAAGCCAAGGGGATTTCATTCAAGCACTTCCATGCTCATACAGGGGAGCTCCTTGCTGTGAAAACTTAGTTCTACATTTTTAACTGAAGCCTCGTAAAAATGTGAGGGTCCCAAGGAGCAACTGCCTGCCCACCTTGGTGACTTTTCACCCTGCTAATGTCTTAGAAAGCTAGATTTTCTCTTTGTGTAAACAAGTACTCAAACACCACATCCACATGTGGAACAAGAGTTAATGCCACCCCAAAAGGGAGTGACTGGCTAGGCATGGCGGTAGTTGGTACGGATGTGAACGTGGCTGTGGCCAGCAGTAGGTGGGAAATCACTGCCTGCTGTGGAACATGACCTCCCAGCTGAAACTGTGTCCCCGTGAGACTGTGCTCATCTGACCACACTTATGCACAACATGCACCGGTGATAAATGTGTTCAGATGCCGGGCTCCCCTGTGTTCCTCCCTCCTTCCAGAACACTTACTGTGTTATAAAGCTCCTCCAGCCTCGGGATGGTCAGAAAGTGCTGCATGTTCACTCCATTTTCTATCAGGAGCTTCACAAAGTCCACGCGATCCAAGACTAAAGCATCCAGCATTGCTTGCTCCAAAGCATTCACCTGCACAAACCAAGGGATGGGGGCCCGTGAGTGGCTTCTCAGAGGGACACCAGGCAGAAGGCCCATTGGAAACATGGAGGGAATGGTGGTCTGACTCCCAAGATCCCAGAGTATTTGGAACATGGTCATCTTTGCTCTTCGTCTTGAGTGAGCACACCTCATTTCCCCCTCTCCTTTCTTCTCATTTGGCCTCTACATATTCCATCAAAGTTTGTAAATGATTTTCTCCTTTTAAAAATAAATCAGAGAAGATTCGAAACCTCAGCCATATTGGTGTTACTCTGTCCAGTTTTTACCATTTGTTTCCTTGACTGAGAAGTATCCACCTGGCGGTGGTGGAATTCTGTGTGGAATCACGCAGGCATGGGGCATGCCACCAGGGCACCGTGTGAGTGAGTGGCTGTGATACGTGTGCATACATACACACACTGCTGCCCTATCTTGCCTGTATCCTGGCAGCGGTGAGACCTAGAACAACCATGTGATGTGTGGCTTCAGGCTCCCAGCCCAGACAACTACCATCACCCCCACAAACCCAGTCATGGGCTCTTTCGAAAAGGTTTTGTTGCACAAATTGCATTTATTCAGTGGTAATTGGTTTGTCTCCCAAATTTTCATGCCTCAAGCATCTGCCTGTTTGCTGGGCAGCGAGAGCCACTGTTGAGCAAGATGACCAGAATATCCTCACTGGGTAGCATCATTACCCCTATAGCAGGAACATTTGGTGTTTTTTAATTTTAAAATTTTTTGTAGAGACGGAGTCTCACTATGTTGTCCAGGCTAGTCTTGAACTCCTGGACTCAAGTGACCTTCTACCTCAGACTTCCAAAGTGCTGGGATTATGATTGTGAGCCATTGTGCCTGGCCACATTTGGTATTTTTTTTTGTTGTTGTTGTTTGTTTTTTTTTTTTGAGACAGAGTCTCGCTTTGTTGTCCAGGCTAGAGTGAGTGCCGTGGCATCAGCCTAGCTCACAGCAACCTCAAACTCCTGGGCTCGAGCGATCCTTCTGCCTCAGCCTCCCGAGTAGCTGGGACTACAAGCATGAGCCACCATGCCCGGCTAATTTTTTATATATATATCAGTTGGCCAATTAATTTCTTTCTATTTATAGTAGAGACGGGGTCTCGCTCTTGCTCAGGCTGGTTTTGAACTCCTGACCTTGAGCAATCCGCCCGCCTCGGCCTCCCAAGAGCTAGGATTACAGGCGTGAGCCACCGCGCCCGGCTACACATTTTGTATTTTTGACAACCAACAGCCATAGCCCAGCGAACATACTGTTGCTGTTTGAGATACTGACAGTATCCCATCAATCCTTTACCCCTCCTTCTTGGGATCAGGGCCCTGGGTGGGGTGGAAGCAAAGGCAACAAAAACTGTTCCTTCCCCCAGAGAAGGAGGGTGATGCCAATCCTGTGGTCTCCATGATCCTGAGAAACAGGAACAAGGACTTTCCACATACCCAGTTCAGCAGCTCTATCTTCCGGGGGTCAGTTTCTTCCTCCACTTCTTCTTTTACTTTCCCTTTCTTCTTGCCTTTTCCTTTTCCTCTCCCCCCCTTGGTGGTGGCTGTGGGTGGCTTCTTCTCCTTCTCTGTGGCTTTGGTATCTGTTGGGGGGGCCAGGCTTCCCAGGGGCTGCAGTCCACAGAAAGCAGAGTTGAGAAAAGTTATTAAGGCTGTTCCTTGTTCCAAAAAAAAGTGGACCAATCCCCCCACCTCTGTTCATGCATACACACATACTACATATGCACACACGTGCACATGCACAAATGCACACACACAACATATAATACATGCACATACATACATAAACAGTACTCACACATGCACACAATGTGCATGTGTACACCCACACAGTGAACACACATGCCCCCCCATGCACATGCACATGCACACATGTACACATACACAGTCTGCACACATGCACACACACACACACATACTCAGTCATCACAAGCCTGGCTGTCTGGTGGAGAAAGCCCTGCTACCATGAACCACTGTTACTCGTGCACAAATGCATACTGGCTTGCTATAGTGGCTTTGCATACTTAAAATGGCTGATACTTTGACTTTCCTGTGTGCTTTTGCACAAAGGAAAGGGTGCTGAGGGGATAGTTCAAAGGCACCAAATACATGTGCCCATAATTGTCTAATAATAGGAGAAAGTGATCACGAAGGGGTCAGAGACAACAGATATAACCACAGAAGCCTGCCAGAATCTAAACATGAACTAGAGCTTATCGGTGGGTTGATGAAGTTGTCCAGGTATCACTGAGATGCGTGCAGTGTGGGGACAGACCGGATTCATCGTGGGGAGAATGTCCCCTTCTCCAGAGAACAGGAGGGAGAGCAGAGTGGGCCTGTGCCCTGGGCCTGGTGTCCTGGTGCAGTGGAGAGCACGGGGGTGTGACCTGGTGCACACATGGAGCCGGCACTTACACAACCCACCCCTCCAGCTGGTGTCCTCTCTGCCTGCTCCTCTGGCCGGCTCTCCTGGGGAGTCGTCTGCCCGTGGTGTCTCCGTTCCCTCCCTTCCCATCCCGCCTCTGTGCACTGTGCTCCTCCCCTGCCTGCCCTGGGCTCTGGCTTTGGTCACTGATGACTGTGCCACGCCTGCCTCACGGGCATTTCTCAGCGCCCCTCGAGCTGGGTTCTCAGCGCCCTGATTCCGCAGGCCGCTTCCTCCTCGAGCCTCTTTCCTCGGCTTCCCAGGCAGCACAGGCTCCCGGCTTCCGTCTTGTCTGTCTGGCCTCTGCTTCTCGGCGCAGCTTTCAGTGTCAAGGCTCTCCTGGGCTCTGTCCTCTTTGTGAAACAGACACCATTAGATGTTTTTGATGACTATTGGGTTTTGGACTGTGTTTCAGCACTTTATCTTTTTCCAACCATTGTGCCAAACACTTGCAATTGTCAGAAAATAATCCATTTTTCATCACACGTAACAATATGGTGCAGAAATGGTTCGCCTTTATGTCATGACAGCCAAGAAAGACAAGCATCGAGACGATTTCTCTTCTGACGCTCATTTAAGTCACGTGGAAACCATCTATCCAGCTTCTTTACTTTGTCGATTTGTTTCAAATGGCCCAATGTTGTTGGAATAGTAATGTCAAACCTTGCTGCTAATTCATGCATAGGTTGAGATGGATTCACTTCTGCTACAGCTTTCAGCTCATCATTATCCACCTTGGTCTCAGGTCACCCACATGGCTCATTTTCAAGATTAAAATCACCAGAATGGATCTCAAACCATTAATGTACTGTGTGTTCATTAGCCACATCCTTCCCAAACACTTCATTGATATTTTAAGCTGTCTTCACTGCATTGGTTCCACGACAGAACTCATATTCAAAAATAACATGAATTTCAACTATCCATGGTTTCACAAAGACTCTCACCTAACACCATGTCCAAATATTAACTCAAAATGGATGAAAGACCTAAACATACAAGTTAAAATCATAAAATACTTAGAAGAAAACATAGGGCAAAAGTGTCACTATATTGGATTTGGGAATTCAATTCTTGAATATGACACCATAGGCAAAAAAAAAAAAAGGAAAAATAAACAAATAGAATGAACTTCATGAAAATTAAAAAATTTTGTACATCAAAAGATAATATCAACAGAGTAAAGGCAGGCACAGAATATATTGTAAATCATATATATGTTAAGAGATTAATATCCAGAATATATACAGAAGTTCTAAAACTCAATGACATAAAACAACCAAACTGATTAAAAAACAGGCAAAGGACTTAAATAGATATTTTTCCACAGAAGACTTACAAATGGCCAATAAGCACATGAAAATATGCTCAACATCACTAATCATTAGGGAAATGCAAATCAAAACCATCTGAGATACTATCTCACACCCATTATGATGACTATTATCAAAACAACAGAAAATAACAAATATTGGCAAAAAATGTGGAGAAAGTGGAGCCCTTGTGCACTGTGGTGGAAATCTAAAGTATATACCCAAAAGAATTGAGAGCAGGTCTTGAAGAAGTATTTGTACCCCTGGGTTTATAGCAGCATTATTCTAAACATGGAAGCAACCCAAGTGTCCATCAATGAATGCATGGATAAGCAAAATGTGGTATCCACATATAATGGAATATTAATACTCCTTGCAATCTGTTCTGGAATTGTCTAGGTTCACTGCCACATTATTTTGCCTTACAACCATTCAAAGAGTAATTTATTTTGCTCTGAATTCCTTTACCAAGGGTGGGAAAACCAAAATATCAAAAGGAAAATTATAATATTTAAGGTATTGCACAATTTTTCTGAATGTGGGTAATTCCATAAGCAACACACACAAACACTCTACCCCATACGCTACTCCTTTAGTATACTGATGTTATTCTATAAACTCTTCACACTAATTTGATAAAAATTTAGTGTTGTAAAAAATAAAATGCATTTGTGCAGCAAATGCATATACCAGGCATGTTTTGAGAAATATGGTTTTTAAAACCTAACATAAGCCATTTATACAGTCCTGCCCCCGCTTTAAGCAGCAGAGCCCTTTTGGCAAACAAAAATCTTCCCTGAATTCCAGTCTCCAGAGAAGATCAAAGAAGCTGCTTTGATCAAAGGAGGAGCAGGAGGCCTAGAACCGTTGATCACACATGCTCATTACATGTGCTCACACGTGTGCACACACTGCTTGTCCTACATCACACACACACACACTCTAGTCTCCAACCACACTATACCAACCATGGCTACACACATACTCACCCACGCATAATCATACCACATACAGACACACCACCAATCACATACACACAGACTCCTTCCACACACATACGGACACTCTATCACATACTACACACTCACCTACATACATGCTATACACACACACATTACACGCCTGCACAGACAGCACACACACTAAACCACACACGTATCACACATACCACACATCCACATACACCACACACGTGCACACAGACACACCACACGCAATGCATTAAGCTACAACACAAACACCACACCACAAACAACACACACTACACATAAAGAACACATACACACCAGACATATATACACACAGAGTTCTCTAGGCCTCTAGGATTTCATGGAACATGGTTTGAAAAATCAGTGCCCTAGATGGAAGCATTATACTTAATTTTAATGAGCTATTTTCTTTCTTCTTTTTCGTTAAAAGGGTAAAAACCCACTGTCACTGACAATGATAAAGTTTTTTGTGGTTACTTTCTTCAAGAGTACTGGTTTGAATCTGGAATTAGTGCTAGTAGCTCTTATTTCTTGTTGGTTCTTTGAGGTTAAACAGAAACCTCTTCTAATAATCCTAATGGATTACACATCGGATCATTAGAAACCTCAAATATTAAATAATTTCCTGAGATCCATGCCACAAGGGAGAACATACTAATATATCATCTGTACAAAGTCATGATAAATGACATGAGTTGAAAAAAAGTTTCACCGGCCAGTGGGGCCCAAAGACAAAGATTTGGCTTCGTGCTATGTCAACGCGGTTCCAAGCCAGTGCCAAGCTCAGCTGATCTGGAGCCGATACATTTGTTCCTGGAAAGGCAAGAAACAAGAGTGATTTTTCACTCCATGCCTGGACTGCTCGGGTTTGGCAGGTGCTGGATGATAAACACAGGTTTTCCCCAGGGCTGGTTCAATGTCAGCCTGGAACTAAACATCGCTGCCTTTTCTCTCACCCCTGAATAAGGGCCCAAAGCTAAGAAGAACTCCATCATCTCAAAGAGCTTCCTTGGAGAAAGGTGGAGGCAATCTCTTCCCGTGTCAGCTCTGCCTGGTCTCCTTTGGAGGGACAGAGGAGGAATCCAGTAACTTGGCAACCTCATCTGCAAAAGGGCAGGAACTATGGCACAGCCCTGGGATTGCCCAGATACCTACCAGGCCAGGCCAGGCCAAGGGGCGCTACCCTCCACCCCCAAGAGCACCAGTCCCCTGGCCCACAGAGAGGCCAGCGCAGCACTGCCTGCTGTAGGCCTGGTGGTGCCTCCTACTCTCTGCTCTGCCTTTCCTGCCCCGTCATGGCCCCAGGCTAGCCAAGAGGCAAGAAGGAAGTGTGCATCCCAGAGCAGACTCCACCCCCATGAATGCCAGGCCAAAGCCTGTCATTAGAGGCAGGATGGGGAAATTTGACAGAGCACTGCAGAATGCAGCAACAGCAAATGAAAAACCATTTTATGTTTACACTCTGTGAGTTGAAGCCTTAAGTGAACAAGTTACAAATGAAAATGGTTCTGACTTTAGCCTATTATGGTTCATGGGCACCCACAGACCCCACCCCACAGAAACCCACACTGAGCCTGTCGTTCTACCATGGCTTTGTGCTGAGACCACTCCAGGCAGCCTGGTTGGCCTGGGGTTCTGGCACCAGCAGACACGGTCCCTGGGAGCCGAGGAGGGAGAAGGACTGCTGGCAAGGCCAGCATCAAAGGGAGAGGAGTCACCATTTCCCGAGAGCTCACCTTTCAGCAGGGCAGTTAAAATTGCCATCTCGATGTCCTGCTGACCCTCAGAACCCATTCTAAATACAGTGACCTGAAAACATAAAACGACTGAGTTAAAGCAAAGTCAAAAACAGGAAGGAGAATTGAGGTGTTCTTACAAAATGACCACAGAGACTGACACATAATAAAAAAAAAAATGACCCTGAGTGCTAAACAATTTTAAACCAAGTGCTTTTGATTTCCAGAAGTTGCAGCATTGCTCTTGCTGATGGTGAATCTTTGCCTGGATTCTGATTTTATTATTTACGAGATCTGTTCCGATACCCTTGAGAGGAGGGAGCTCATTCAGGATCTATACTCCAATATCTAATCTGCCATCAGAGATGATAAAATTGTAGCAGGTATTTGTAGGAAATGTGTAAATTTAGAATTTTGAAAAGGCTATCTTATATGAACAATAAGAGTGCCTATTCCTTATAAACACAATTAAGGGAGGAAGGAGTGGGAAATAATTACTGCATTTAGAAAATGAAATGATAGAACTTTGGAAGCATATCTAACAGGGCGATATCTATCTCTCTTCCCCAGATATTTAAATCTGATTAACATTATGAACCTCAGAGTTGTGCAATGCGGTATGATTGTCATCTCCCAGTTGCTAAGGTTTGAAAGCCCCTGGGACTCTCTTCTGTGCTGGCTTGTTCTACCTCCATCATGTGGACACAACTGCCAATGTGGTATGGATCTGTAAACTGCCTCTTGGAAAAGGCCGAACTAAAATACGAACAACTCCATGATGTACACATGGGTAGAATTAGAAAAGGAAACATGATTCTCTCCACAGAGCTTGTTTGGAAATAAATTCAAGACACTTACGAGTTCTTTCTTCTTCATGCACTCCATTATAATTGCAAACAGCTGATGTGACTGTGACTTGTTGTAATTAAATGTTTTCTGAATGGTGACTAGAAGCTGATCCCTGAGGGACTCATTTATTATCCTGTTCAAAGGAAACACAAAAGAGAACAAAACAAGGCAAGTTAAATCTGTACATGAATAAATCAGTCATCTCTATGTCCATCTGGTATCTTTGATTTGAGACTTTGCTATTGGAGGGCTTCCTAGCATGAAGACAAAAAGTGACCATAGTCAAACGCTGCATTCACACTAAACTCTAGCCTTGTTGCAAACCTTCTAAGGGAAAATGAAGATGGCAGGGAGGGTGTTGCACCAGAGAGAGAATTCCTGAGAAACATCCTGCTCCTGACAGTTTCCCCACGTGTTGGCCTTGGGAAACGGGACAGGGGATCTAGCAAATCTTGCTGACTTAGACATGCTTGGAATGTCTAAGCGGACCACTCCAGATTTTCTCCTGGGCCCGGCAGGGAGGCGGTTTTGTACCCACCCTTCCCCACGCATCAGAAATCCTACCCGCCTTCTTCACAGTACTTGTGTGCAAAGGACAGGATGTCCGAGGCTCGTCCGCTGCCATCACAGATCACCACGGGGACCGGAGGGTCTTCTCGAAGGTATTCCAAGACGATGGAAACCACATTAGGGCCCCCTTCCACCACCAGGCCCACGAGGGGCACACCCTGCCCCAGTCCTGCAACACAAATCACATTTGCGGGTCGCGCCAGTGTACTGCAACGGTGCACTGCACGCTCCCCTTGCCTGTTTTAATTCCTGAAATGCCATGAAGAGTAATGACGTATGGATGCTCCAACGGCAGTAGTGTTTACTGAAGCTGGAGGGAATACAAGCAAGTGATGACGCTTTTCTTTCTTGTATTCAAACTCCATATTATGGCCTCAATGGGAAAACCGAGACCTCAAAATCTTGAATGTTCTGGTGAACATGTGGTTAAACTCCATGTACCTCACCTGTCCTATGGGCTACCTCAAGGCGAGCTGTGAGAAGCATTAGAAGATGCTTCTTGCCAAAAATATACCTCCCTTGCTGCCCAACCCTGGGGTCTGAAATCCCCACCCCTGGCTGTCCCCTAAAGAACCATGCAGTGAAAGGGGATCTGGACCAACCACTGGGAAGCTCGGTTCAATTTCTGGCCTCTCCTGTATTTGCCTTCTGACATTGGGCCAATCACCAAACTGTCATGAGCCTCAGGTGACCATCTGTAAAAGGTGAATAATCACACTGCCTCCCTTGCCTCCTGAAGGAGCAATATATAAAATATAAAAACACATCTGGCTATCAAAGAGTTGCGTAAACTTTAGGGAACACACAAATATGATGTGCCGTTCTGCCTTTGCTTCTGCCTCCAATGCCTGGAATAAGGCAGGGTGTGATCTTGGAGGCAAACACATGGGCCAGTTACTGACTTGCTCCCAGACTCCTCTCTCTGCCTCTATCAGATAATAGGACCGTTCTAGAACATAGAAGGTGCAGAACTAGCAGGATGGGCTGGGAAGCAGGAGGTGGCAGGAGGATTCTGGAGAGAGAAGGAAGAGGGAGTGGAGACAAATTCGCCTTCTTCACGATTCTGCCCCAAACTGGCCATGACACAGTATATGTTCTGAGCCTGTTTCACCAGATGTCTGTTAGTTGTGATGGGAATTAGTTGATTAACATTAACTAATGGCAAGTAGGAGAAGTATCCTTGGTTTCACAGTTCTGAAGGGCTTCACATAAAACCTACTGGCACAGGTTATGAGAGGATTTGAGAATTTCAAGTGGGAGGATTCAGAGTGTCTGGTTTTCTTCCATGAGACATTTCTGTACTCTTAAGTATTTGGAATGACTCTGCTGTCTCTGAGCAGAATAATTACAGCTAAGTTCATTTCAGCAAACATGCGCTGTGTTGTGCCAAGCCCTGGCTGAGAGATCCTCGACAAATGGACCAAGATGACACGGACTCTGCTCTTGAGATTTCCAACCCAAGTGAGGCATGATATTTTGGACCTTCAGGAGTATGGTGGCCAATTCACCTTCTTTCCTAGAAACAGAATAGAAGTGGTTCTTCTTGGCTTAAGCTGGACTCCCTGAAGCTCCATGCTGTGGGAGGTGACGACTGAGCACCCCTTTGCTGTCCCTGCCCTGCTCAGAGCCCTAGGCAAAGGATGACAAAGGGAAGCCCACACGTCACATGGCCAGGTGAAGAGAGGCAGTGTGAAAACTCACAAGTCCGGAAAATTTCAAGAAAAGTGAACAAAAAAATTCCATCATCAATCAGCTTATCCGTCGAGATCTGGTTCTTGGAAATCCACAAGTTTCCGTGGTAGGCCACTCCCATTCCACACTCTTGTATAGCATCACAGTCCCTTACATTGTGCTCTGCAATGACCATTTTCCAGACCTACATTGTCTTCCAGAAAAATCTCACTAGTAATGATAAATACAAAACACTCTTCAAGTTCATTTAACAATTATTTGACAGTAAGAACTGTTGAAGTATGAACATATTCCAAGAGATTATGCCAGTTATTTTAATTCTAACCAATTGTTATCATCATTTCCTCTGGTTGAGGTTCATTCCTTTCTCGTTCAACCTCAGCATTCTTTCGACAGCATCAGGGCTGGGCCCCCTGGACCAGAAAGGATGATGCCCCGTCAGGAGCACGGGGCTCCTTCAGCCCTCTCCAGAGATGTCCCCACCTGGCCATCTCAGTCTGGGTGAGAGACCCAGAGCTACAGAGATATTTAATGGTCACCTAACATTTATCAATTGATAGAAGAAATCATTCTAAGTTTTTTGAGAAATTAAAAAAAATATAACAACAGTAATCACAAGGGACGTGAACTACTAGGCAACATGGTGGGCAATGTTATCACCATGGCGACCACTGCAGGGTTGTTTCTTGTGCCAACTGGTGAACTTGGGGCAAAGCATCACCCCTTGCTTAATGGATATGGTTTGGGAGGTGGCTGAGATAAAGGGTCATTTTCTGGCGACTTAACACGAATCAAGGGTAAAGCTGTCAACGCCCTTGGGCAGCCTCCTCGGCCTGGCCTCTGTGGCGGCGGTGGCGGTGGCGGCCCAGCAGTGGTGCCGGGGCCCTCGCCAGCACTTACTCGTGTTGATCTTCTGCAGGGAGATGTGCTTCTCCAGCAGCCTCCGCAGCCTCACCTCCGCGCCGTACTTGCCCAGGGTGCCGTTGTCGGCCAGGATGAAGTGAGTGTGGGAATTGTTGAGCACAGAGAGCTTACTCAGAGGGTTGGACATGGTCTGGTACACCCTTGTTACCTGCCAAAGTGCACAACACGCATCAGAGCTGCAGAACTGAGACCGACAGGGGAAGCGAGCAGAGTACGTGTGTCTGTCATGACTGCACTTAAACCTACCTTCGCTTCTCTACCCTACCTTTTGAAGGTTTTCTTTGTGTCAATTGTTACATTAAAATGAAAAATTAATTATTTCAGATAATGACAACCTAGTGCTTGCCCTCCTGGGTATTTATTGCAGAGAAATGAAAACTTATGTTAACATCCTCTACACAAATGTTTATGGTGCTTTATTTCCAATAGCCAAACTAAACAACCCAGATGTCCTTCAACAGATAAATGGTTAAACAAACTGTGGCACACCCATACCATGGAATACCACTCACCAATAAAGAGGAATGCCTATGGATACATATGACAAACTGGACAAATGTCCAGCCAACTATGTAAAATTTTTAAAAAAGCCAATCCCCAACGGTTACATATTTATGATCCCATTTATAAAACATTCTTGAAATGGGGGGCAGATTAGTGGTTTCTAGGGGTTAAAGAGGAAGCAGGGGAGGGAGGGAATCAGGTATAGATATTAAAGGGCAACAGGAGGGATCCCTGGGTTGATGGAGATGTCCTGTACCTTCACTGCACCGATGTGAGTACACTGGTTGTGATATTGGTTGTAAAACATATCACTGGGGCAGGTTATTATTTCTTACAACTGCATCTGAATCTACAATTAATTATCTCAACATAAATACTTTAATATTAAATGCTTGCCAATGTCTACAGAGAAAGCACTTACATCTTTTCCAATCAGGTCTTCCTTATTCTCCACGATGCCCCACGGAGCAATCCCTATAGCGCAAACCCGGCCTCTGGACTTGGAGGAGTGGTCTTTCAAGGCATCCCCCACGTGGCTGATGACACCTGTGAGCAGCCACAAGAAGTCATATTTTAGGCCCCTCTTCTCCCCATCATAGCACCCCTTGTGAACTTTAGGGACACCTGATCTGAGCCCCTACATTCCTTATAGAACAGGGCTGAGACACACTCATCTTCATCATTAAAACAAAGTACACTGAAGGTCTGAGCTCATAACAACATAGCAATCCTGCATAAAAAAGGGCAAAAACAGAAACCAAAGCAACTGTGCCAGATTTCCTTTACAAGTTTCCAAGACCTAACGATGGAAGTGACTGGGTCTCTTTGGCCATCTTTGGCTACCTTCAGCTAAAGTTGACAGCCAGACTGCCTGGCCTGTTTTTTAACCTCTCTATGCCTTGATTTCCTCTCCCATAAAAACAGGAAAAGGATTTTTGAGAGGCTAAATGAAGATGGTGTTTGTGTAGGGCTCAAGGATAATAGTGGGTTCAAGGATAATAGTGGGTGACCCAGAGATGTTGACCACTATCATTATTATACTTCCTGGTTTTTTTTTGTTTTTTTTTTTTTTAAGAATCATAACAAAATAAAACAAGAACTTTCACTTCTGCCATAATATGATCGGGTGGTAATATGTCTTGTTTTTCATATTTAATTATTGGGAAGCTCTTTGGGCACTGCAGTGAGTTCTGGGTGGTACATTTGCTGTGAGGGAAAAGGTCCACTCTTACCTGTGCTGACCCCGCCAGTGAAGATCCAGGCCCCAGTGGTCATGGCAGCCTTGATCAGGCCTTTCCCAAAGACCTGCTTCAGCTTGGGCTGCATCTCAAAGTTCTGGAGGCCTCCGTGCACAGATATTAAGAGCTTGGGGAGTTCCAGCTGCCAGTCTTTCACCATGAGATGGAGCAGTGAATCAGGCTTGGTGTCATAGGATACACGGATATACTGCAAAAGAGTGTGTGACACTCAGCACCTGTTCTTGGTTTTGCGTCTTGTGTCAAAGAGGAGCAGGCCTATCAATCACATGCAAGCAAGAACTTTCTGGCTTGTCTCTCCTTCAGGGTCCTAAGGGCCCCTTTGTGAGTCTGGGGCCAAGTGACTTAAAGGAGCTTTGGGAAGGATTGCCAGATTTGGCAAATAAAAATACAGGATGCTCAGTGCTATGGTCTGAATGTTTGTGTTCCCCCAAAATTCACATGTTGAAACCTAATCTCAATGTAATAGTATTACGAGGTAGGCCTTTAGGCGGTGATTAGGTCATAAGGGCAGAACCCTCACGAATGGGATTAGTGGCCTTAGAAGAGAGGCCTGAGGGAGCTTGTTCCCTTCCATCATGTGAAGATGCAGCAAGAAGTCGCCATCTATGAAGCAAAAGATGAGCCCTCACTAGATACCAAATCTGTTAGTGCCATGATCTTGGACTTCCCAGCCTCTAGAACTGTGAGCAATAAATTTCTGTTGTTTATACATTACCCAGTCTAAGGCATTTTGTTATAGCAGTTGAACAGACCAAGACACCCAGTTAAATCTGAATTTTAGATAAATATTGAAAATGTTTTAGTACAATATTTTTATTAAATGCAATAAATCATATAATATTTGGGATATACTTATACTAAAAATTATCCATTGTTTGAAATTAAAATATAACTGAGTGTTCTGCATTTTATCTGGCAACCCTAACCTTGGAGGAATCAGTTCTGAGCTGGCTCAGCTAGAACAATGGCCCAAGAAGTTGGAGAAGCACGTTGTCGAGTGAGTGGGAAAGGGGGTCACAGGCTCGCATCTGGACTTGACCTTTTCCTCAAAGTGAAGGAGAGGTTAATAATCACCAGATGCCTTGGTTCCTGTGAATTGCTTCTTTGTGTCCATGCCAATATGTAGGGTGCCATTCCGGAAGACTGTATATTGTGGTATTTGGAACAGAAATGAATTTTATTTGAACAATGATGTTGGGCCAGTGAAATAAAATGAAATTACAAAAAGGCTCTGACAGGGCATGTGGGAGTATTATTCAGAATTAAGCAAATGGGATCATAGTGCTGAAGCCTCCTTTCTCTGGCAGGGCTCATCGGAAAGGCAGAAGGCACTCCCTGTTCGTATGCAAACATGAGGGACCTTGTCTTTCTCAGGCCAGCTAAGTGCACGCCAGGGGGGCTGTGAACGGACTCCCACACACATATAATGGGGAAAATATTTCCAGAGTCTCCCAACACATCGAAGGGAGTTGCAGGTTCACAGTAATTTTTTAAAAAAGAAATTTCTCTCTCAGTACTAGAGATGGAGCAATGGGATATGGTTGCGAAGTTGGGCCAGAGCCTGGCCTGTGGATTCAGAGCTTTGGTATGGATTTATGGGACACTACATGCTCTTTATAACAGTGTCCAGCTTCTAAATCTCATGGCTGAAAAATCATGTGCACCAATATAACTCTTGGTTTTGCAATGAAATATCTGGGAAGATTGAGCCATAACCCTGAAGAAGACCCAGGTATCTGCAGTCTGGGGTCTGGGCGACGGGCCTCTGATGTGGACTGTGGTCCCAGTGGCACCATGTCTGAATGCCCCTCTTACCATGGCTTTATTGGAGTATCCGCCCCCCTGGAATTCAAGAATCCCGTAGGAATCCGTCGGGTAGCTCTGGGTGTGTTTGGTGACAGACCATTTCTCTGGTTGGGCATCCACCTGTTTGTTTTCCTCTTCATTTTTGCTGGGTGTCAGACTTGGCAGAGGGGGAATGTGCTGGTTGGTGAATTGACCACAGCAACACCTGCAAGCAAAGGAAAAGCAGGCTCTTTCTACAACATTCCTCTCCTTTTCCCTTAGTTAGCAAAGATGAGTTAACTTGAACAGGTGAGTTGGGCCCGAACAGGGTCATGCTAACACCTTAGTTATCCAGCTTGATTGGGGACCACAGATGCCCCTTAGGATGGCCTTTTTCAGATAATCAATGCCTATCTATTTATGTACCAGTTTATATTAAACACATGGGATGGTTGCCCTTCTTTACTGGATGTATTGTAACTCTATCTTGACAACATCAGTATGGCCGTTGCATACTGAAAAGTGTGACCAAGTACAGTCATGCCCTCCAAACACAGAGTAGACCTGCCAGGATTTTTCAATATTGTTGAATTCTTCTGTTGCTTACATTTCTCTCCCCAGGTAAGAGCTGGGGATGGCATCAGCTTTTGCACTAGAGAGGATGTTTTTGCTGGGTGGATGTGTGATGTGTGCATGTGTTTGATGCACGTGTGCAGGGGCCCTGCCGGGACATTTCTCCCTGCTTCTCTGGCTACTTTATTGGTGGCATGGGCCATATTCCAGGTTTTCCTTCACTTCCTCCCTCCCTTCCTTTCTCCCTTTCCTCCCTTCCTCCCTTCATCACCCCTCCTTTCTTTATTTAATTAAGATAGAATTGTAATGAGATAATTCACATACCACACAATTGACCTGTGTATGTGATTCAATGGGTTTTAGTATTGGAAGATATGTGTGGTCATCACTACAGCCAATTTCAGAACACTTTCCTCACCTCATAAAGAAGCTTGGCACACTTTAGCTGTCCCCCCATCACACAGCCACAAGAAACCACAAAGCTACTTTCTGTCTCTGTCCTGTTATAGACATTTCACATATGAATGGAATCATACAATATGTGGTCTTTTGTGACTGGCTTTTTTCACTTAGTATGTTTTTAAGGTTCATCCATATTGTAGCATGTGTCAGTACTTCATTCTTTTTTATGGCTGAATAATATTCCAGTGTATCAATGGGTAAACATTTTGTTTACCTATTTATCATTTAATGAACATTTGGGTTATTTATAATTCTTGGCTATTATGAATAATGCTGCTATGAGTATTTGTGCACAAATTTTTGAGGGGACATGTGTTTTCATTTCTCTTGGGTATATACCAGGAGTACACTTGCTGGGTCATATGATTACTCTTATGTTTAATCATTTGAAGAACCACCAAACCGTTTTCCAAAGCAGCTGCATCATTGTACATCCCCACTGGCAGTGTATGAGGGTTCTGAATTTCCACAACTTCTCCAACGCTGGTTATTATCTGATATTTTGATCCTAATGATCCTACTGAGTATAAAGTGGTATCTCATCATGGTTTTGATTTGCATTTCCCTGATGAATAATGTCAAGCACTTTTTCATGTATTTATTGACTATTTGCATATCTTCTTTGGAGAAATGTCTATTTAGATCCTTTGCCCATTTAAAAACTTGTGTTGTTTATCTTTTTTATAATTGAAATGTAAGAGTTCTTTATATGTTCTGCATACAAGCCCCTTGCATCTGATATATAATTTGCAAATATTTTCCACTGTTCTGTGGGTTGTCTTTTCACTTTCTTGGTTGTGTCCCTTGAAGCATAAAAGTGTTTAGTTTTGATAAAGTCCAATTTATTTTTTCCTTTGTTGCTCATGGTTTTGGTGTGAGATCTCAAATCATTTGCCAAATCCCAGGTCCTGAAGCTTTTTCCCTATGTTTTCTCCTGAAAGTTTTATAGTTTTAACTCTTAAATTTAGATATTTGGTGCATTGTGGGTTAATTTTTATAGCTATCTTAAGGTAAGGGTCCAAATCTATTCTTTTGCATGTTGCTATCCAGTTGTTCCGGCACCATTTGTTGAGGAGACTGTCCTTTCTTCATTGAGAGGTCTTTTCATCCCTGCCCCAAATCAATTTGCCATAGATGTATGGGTTTATTCCTGGATCATCAATTCTATTCCATTTGTCTATAGGTCTATCATATACCATTACCATCATACTTTTATTACTGTAGCTTTCTATTAAGTTTTGAAATCAGGAAGTATGAGTCCTCCTACTTTGCCGCCCCCCCTTTTTTATTAAGTTGTTTTGGCTATTCTTTCCTTGAAAATTCCATATGAATTTTAGAATCTTCTACAAAGAAGTCAGCTGAGGTTCTGATAGGGATTAAATAATTGCCTTGGCTTGAGCCTCCATTATAATGTTGAATAGAAGTAGGGAGAGTGGACATCCTTGTCTTGTTCCTGGTCGTAGGGGGAAAGCATTCAGTCTTTTCTGATTAAGTATGATGTTAACTGTTGGTTTTCCACAGATTTTATCAGGTTGAGGAAGCTTCCTCCTGTTTTTAGTTTTCTGTGTTTTTTTAAATCATAAAGGGTGCTGGGTTTTATCAAATGATTTTCCTGTACCTATTGAGAAAATTGTGTGATTTTTGGTTTTATTCTCTTGATGTGATGTATTACATTAGTTATTTTTCTAAAGTAAACCAACCTTGCATTTATGGGATAAATCTCACTTGGTCATGGTGTATAATTCTTTTTATATGTTGCTGGATTTGGCTTGATAATATTTTGTTCAGGATTTCTGTACCCATATTCATAAGAGATATTGATCTATAGTTTTGTTTTTTGGAATTTCTTTGTCTAGTTTTGGTACCCATGTAGTACTGACCTCATAAAATGAATTGGGAAGTGTTCCCTCCTCTGTTATTTTCTGGAAGAGTTTGTGAAGAATTGGCCTTTTAGAGTTCAGCAGAGAAGTTCTCTGGGCCTGGGCTTTTCTTTGTGGGTAGTTTTAAAATTATTATTACTAATCCTATCTGTTAACTTCTTATAGGTCTATTCAGATTGCGTATTTCTTCTTGAGTTTTTGCAGTTTGTGTCTTTCTATGAATTTCCCCATTTCATCTAAGTTATCTAATTTGTTGGCATACAAATTATAATATTCCTTTATATTCATTTCTATTCCTGTAAGGTTGGTAGTGATATCCCACTTTCATTTCTGTTTCTAGTCATTTGAGTCTTCTCTCTTTTTTCATTAACTAGCTAAAGATTTGTTAGTTTTGTTGATATTTTCCAAGAACAGCTTTTGATTTCAATTAATTTCTCCATTTTTTTCTATTCTCTTTTCCATAAGTCATAATTTCCTTTCTTCTAATTGCTTTAGGTTTATTTTGTTCTTCTCTTTCCAGTGTCTTATGGTGGAAAGTTAGGTTATTCATTTAATATATTTCTTCTTTCTTACTATAAATATTTACAGGTATAAATTTCCCTTTCAGCACTGCTTTAGCTGCATTCCCTAAGTTTTGATGTGTTGTGTCTTCATTTTCATTTATCTTAAAGTATGTTTTGTTTTACCTCTTTTACTTTTTCTTTAACTCATTGATTATTTGGGAGTGTGTTGTTTAATTTCCACATATTTGTGAGTTTCCAAATTTTTTCCTGCTATTAATTTCTTATTTCTAATTTCATTTTATTGTAGTTGAGTACATATTTTGTATTATTTCCATCCTTTTATATTTATTGAGAGTTGTTTCATGGCCTAATGTATGGTCTATCCTGGAGAATGTTTCACATGCACTTGAGAAGAATGTGTTGAGAAGAATGTGTATTCTATTGTAATTGGATAGTGTTCACTATAGATATCTGTTAAGTCTAGTTGGTTTATGGTGTTATTGAAGTTTTCTATTCCCTTGTTGATCTTCTATTAAGGTCTTCTATTCATTTTTAAAAGTGGGGTATTAAAGTCTCCAACTATTATTGTTGAATTGTCTATTCCTCTCTTTATTTATGTCAATTTTGCTTCATGCTTTTTGGTGCTCTGTTATAAGGTACATATATGTTTATATTTGTTATAACTTCCTGATGCATTGATCCTTTTATCATTATATCCTCTATATCTCTGGTAACATTTTTTTGTTGTTGTTTTAAAGTCTATTTTGTCTGAAATCAGTATAGCTACTCTTAATTTCTGCAGTTGCTTCTTGTGTGAGTGAGGCCTGAGTGGAGGAAGGAAGCTTCTACCTCTCAACTACACTCAGGACTTAGCCTCAGCAACAGGTAGTGGGAGACAGGAGGAGAAATCCTCAAGTCCTGCTCCTCCCTGGAAGAAAGCCCTCTGAGTGGAAGCCAGGGGAAGAGGGAGCCCTGTGTTCTGGGCTACAGAAGTCTGGAGTGGAGTTTCCATTTTGCTGAACTGGGAGAGGAGAGAGAGAAAAATCTCTTGGTTCAAATACCATAGACTCTAGTCTTTCTTACTGAATTTTTGTTGGCTTTCTCAAATACACATGTCTTTACTTGCTATTTGCTTTTGGGACCATTTCCAGAGGGCTTTAAATGGTTGTGTTTTTTTGTTTTTATTTTTGTTCCAGGCTTTTGGGGTCCATGCTGGAGAATGCATGGATCTCATATAGGAGGCTTTTGTGGGAGTCCTTCTGCCCCCTGTGTTGCCTGGCTATCTGTCCTCATGGATGACTGCAGTGCTGGCAGGTGTTACAAAGGGCTGGTGCAGATAGTTCCCAGGATGGCCTGGTGCCATTGAAATAAGGAGGAACATTTTGGTGAAACAAAGGGAAGGCTTTTGTAACCACTGACACTGTCCCATGATGGCATTTCTTACCTTGGGAGACTAATCACTGGGGTCCAACAGGGAGAGGAACCTGGGTGGTGGTGTTTGGAAGGGAGCAGCTTGGAGATATGGGGGGACTGTGATTGTATATGTCTGACAAATTTGACCAGGTGATCTCTAAGAGTCTGTGTACCTCTGTGTCAGTGATCCTATGGGCATGAATTTTATATTGGATGAATGTATGGATAAATTATGTCCCTCACCTCCCCCAAACTCAGTCTCATAGCTTTGGCCCTCAGATATGAGATGTTTTAGCTTAATTCATCTCTGATTGCTTGCATGACTCTAGAAGGCCTCTGTTTAGTTTGTAACAGATGCATTTGCATATAGGTCAATGAAATGGTTTAACATTTTGTTTATAACTTAAACCCTTTAATAATATATCTAGCTCATTTAACCACTCAGATATTTCCTGTGATGAAAATTACTTTCATCTAAATATACTATGATTGAAGAGGCCCCCCAAAATATCCTGGAAACCTGTTTAAAACCCTCAGCTCCTCGATTTTGCTAAGACTAAGACAAATGCTGTGGTTATAAGAGTTCACATTAGGTTGAGTGGTGGATAGGAACTCTTTTTTTTTTTTTTTTTTTTTTTTTTTTTTGAGACAGAGTCTC